GTGCCATCCCATTCAACAGTTAACAATTAATTAAATACATTTAGGGAACTCGACAAAAATGGCCAACTCGTGAATAAGGCCCATAGATTTTTTCTGATAACTGTTAATAGCTCCACAAGTGTGTATATTGTGTTGGCATGGCAGATTTGGGTGTAGAGTTGATGCTGAATCAGTGGGGAGAGTCAGCTGCATGTTGGTCATTCATCTGAGTGTCATGCTTTCATCTATGGGCTTTGTGCACAAGTACCTTCTCAACGATTACCAAGGGAGAGTTGGGGAGATCACTGTCTACCGGAGACATTTGAATGCATTGCCGACGACACCTGATGCTCACGCCAAGATGGCTTTGTGCACACTCAGAATGAGATAAGTCGTGCGTACTTCGCCGTATATGCGCGCGAACCAGTATACGCACACAGTGTGTCCCATCAATGGGGTTCTCTAAAAAATTTAAAAAGCGCACCCTTTTGTTCACGCACGGAGCCCATAGTATTCAGCACCTATAACCGGTGGATCCATGGTTCCAATCAATCCCTGGGCCTTGTGAATTTTTTTCTTATTTAAACAACTGAACATTGCCTCCATCTTGGATAAGTGTCAAAGTTTGGCTTGTGCGTTTTTACCACGATGACATGTAGTGTGTGACCCAGAAAATTCTGAAAAGTGAATGCGTAAATGTAGGTGCTACATGTTTATCTACCCTAAGCATAAGGAAATAAATGTGTGCTTGGGAAGTATTAAACACTCAGTTGAAGACCTGTTGGAGTCTGGATGCTTCGACTCGGGCCATTATCAACATCCAGACTCCAAGTGGTCTTAAACAGAGTGTTAAATACTGACCAAGCACATATTTATTCCCATTCACAAATACCTTTTCGTCAAAATCAAAACTTTTTTGGTCAAAAAGTCAAAATTATAAATTTTCAACGATTTTGATCAACAAAACACCCCTCTAGCTATACAGTGGTAAGGCCCTCTGGTAAACAACTCCTTATAATTATGGAGATTGACGCACGCGTACTTCGTGGTGTGGTGCACAATGCAGATGCACCGGTGTAGTGTGAATTTAGAACTATGACATACTGACTCACCGGTAGTATTGCGCATGCCTACATGAGGATTGTGAAGGTACCAATAAACGGTGCTGATACCGGATTTCATAGGAGTCCAAATTTCATGTGACACTGTTAAAAGATTTTAAGACATGACAGCCTCTCGACCAATAGGAATGGGTAAACTGCCTTAGGTAGTTATGAATGTCAAATACATGTCGCAACCAATGTAATCACTGCAGCTGTTGCATGTTGTCATTCAATGAGGAAAGGGCTCCAGTCTAATTTTATGTAACACTTATGAATTTGTGGTCACTTTGGGAGTAGTATACGTACATGTATCTATATGAAAAACCCACGTGCACACTAGTCCGGTGTCATATAAAATTTGACTCCTATGAAAATCAGACTTTTCCCTATTATTGGTTAATCCCTCACACGTGACAGGTCACTTTCACTAAAAATAACATATTATCGTACTTACGCATGCGCAATACTACCAATGAGTCCGTATTTCATGGAGTCGGATATTCATGCTACACCGGCATGGTGGCAGAAACTCTGTTGCTGCTTATACATGTAAATACCGACTTCTACAAGAAGGTTTCTGACTTGAACAAGGAGATTCAGCAAGGTTCCAGGAAATAATCCCTGGAGAGTTGGGGTTAAGACCTTTTTTCCCCAGCAAATTTTCTCTACCACTTTGAAACTTCCCCAATGTTTATTTCACAATTTCCTTGGAACACTCCACCACTTTTGTGTGACTAAGACAGCCTTTCATCATTACATGGATGTCGCCACTTTAGCGATCATAAACTGACATCTACCCACGCTCATTTCGCAACCGGTAAAGGCTATTTCCTAATGCCAGGAACTGACCTTTGAAAACATTGAAACGTGCTGCGAATTCTTTTGGTAGATTTCTTGTTTCAGTTCAAATTGCGTTAATACATTTTAACGGTTAATAAACACATGTTGAGGATATTAAACATGCTCAAATATTTTGCTGTTTTTAGTTCTTAAGGCTGTCCCGAATTTACCGAATATTCTAATATAAACAAAATATTTGAATAGCTTTTTGCCTATTCGAATATGCAACATACACACACGACTGTGATGTTGTTTTAATCATAAAATTGCAAGGCCTTTTTGTCAGATGCCACGTTTTTTGACAATGGTTTTTTTTTGTGAACAGTGGTTCATTGTTCAATCCTATTAGGCCCCCCCAAAAAGTCTCAGGCTTCTGGTATGGAGCTTGCCCCAAAAGTGGTGCGGCGACGCAGCTTATTTGTTTTTTTATCCTTTTTTTCTTCTTCAAATGTCGGCTGATGACTGCAAATGGTGCCAGACTGAATGTAGTGCAAATACATGAAATATATGGGAGTCCAGAGAGGCCACATAAAGCTTATACTCGATTGTTACCCCATCTAAAAACACGTTAAAATTGTGCAGCAGCAGGATTCCAGTTAAACCAGTGAGTTGGCCGGTTTTGAAACATCATCTTACATTGAAAAAAAACTTTTTCATTTTGCCGACGTGCATGGCTACGGCGACGCGCGCGCATGCCAGAAACCAGAGACTTTTTTTTGGCCTTAGCAGTTATATAATGCTTATTGCAAAACACTCCAGTGGCCCATAACATCGATCGCTGCACGCAAATTGTAACCAGCGTGCTTTGCGTGCAAGTTAACCGGCACGGCATGCAGTTTACAGCAAGTTAAAACTTGTTAGGGGAGTTTTGAATATCGATGATTTGGTCAATGCAGTTTAGAATAATCGAATACAACATGTATTTTTCGAAAATAGATGTGAATTACAGTAATTACAGTGAATTACCGCTTGTTTAATTTTTCATTCCTCCCTTACTGAGTCTTTCAGTAACAACTGATGCAAACTGCTTTGGGGGTGAATGCAAAATTCAACAGGTGGTAACCACAGGTTTACCTCGAGGTTTTTACAAGGTTGTACAGGTTACCTTGTGGTTCGACCTCGAGTTACCACTCGTTTAATTTTGCATTCCTCACTTTAAACACTAAATCTTATGAACTTAAAAAAAGCTCTGCCACGATCAAAACATCAGGCCCTCTATTTAAACTTTTAAAATTTGCAGTATTAGGCTAAAAAAAAAAATAAGTCGGTCTCTGGTCAGCGCGCGCGTCGATTTTAATCATGCGCGTCGATCTTTTTTTTTTCCAAAATGTTCCGCAGTAGCTCCAACAGCGCCCTCTATTTCCGCACCTCCTCAATTTTTTTTACCAAAGAGCACCAAGGAATGGGAAATTGCACCAAGGCAAATGATCGAAAGCACCAAAGCAAATTATGGAGGACACCAATGTACAAAACATGTACATGAGGACACCAAAAAAGCAAAATAGTACCTACCTTGTCTGTACAATCCAAGCTTGAAGAAAAAAGAAAAAAAAGCAAAAAAAAAAAAAGCCGCGTGGTCGCGTCAATTCCAGAACTGTGGTCTGACCAGAGACCGAATATTTATTTTTTTTGGCCTTATTCCATCAAAATATCTTTTCAAATTCATCAAAGAACAAAACAATTTAGGTAGACCTTTTTTTTCTTAAGGGGCCTTTCAATTCACACCTGTAAAGCCCATAAATATCTGCATTCAAACGCCCTATACAGAAAATTGTAGACAGTAGTGAGGTTTTTTTGCTGTCGGGCCATCCTGTTCAACTTCCAGTCGATGTATGTATCTTGAACATAGCTCATGTAGCCACATGGTAGACATTACACTCCCATCCTTTTCCTGTTAGGGCAACATTCATCTGGAAGTGTCCGTTGCTTGGTAACGACCCCAAAATGTCATGTGCTACCTCATAGCCTGGAATCCATACATATTGGGTGGTTGGGACGTGCTGTGTGCTCTATTGACACAGTATGTTATTCATCGTTACTTGGAGTCAAACTTTGTATTTTCAATTTTTCTTTTTTTAAATGTGTCCAAAATTGTGTTCAAAGGGAGCCATAACCCTTTCTACATACATGTAGCTACAATTTTGTGAGAAACAAATAAAAAAGACAATGTACTGACAGCATATTTACAAAATATATTGCAAATTTATGAATTAAAAAAAGGAAACGGGTGGGGATGAGAAACTATTTTTTTTTTTACTTTAGTCTCAATTCAAGTCACAAGCTATTCAAATTAATTGTTATAACAAAGGCATGCCTTTAAAGCCCAATTTGAATAGCCTTTAATTTGAATAGCTTGTGACTTGAATTGAGACACAAGTGTTGGACTTGTGATGGACTCGACTGTAACACTGATATTTGGTCATTTCCTAATTACTTGTTTTCCTTCATCCAATGGCCTTTTTCCCCCAATTTTTATTGAAAATTCTTGAATCAATCAAGCTAGCGCAGCACATACAGTCGTGATGAACTCATTCAACAGTTATGAAAATTAAAGGGCTATGTCACTTGGGAATTGTGAATCTTGAAATGTGGCACCGGAATTGCTTGGACAAAATAATCTAGCACAATAGTTTTTGAGCTTTTACCTTCACAAACTTCAAATGACATAGAATATCTGGATTAGGTTCAGACAAAAATGGTAAATGGTCGTCCAAACTCCCAACGTCTGACCCCATGGTCTGTGGACTGGAGGATACTTGAAAGAGTTACTGTCAGTGCTCTTCAACAAATTTGATTTTAGCTCTCCCTAACGAATTTTAATTTTTTTTGTAAACTCTACTTTTTTTCTATTTTGGCCATCTGCAACTCTCTGAATCAGGTTTTCATTTTGGGTTTGTTTTGCACACAAACAGTTCCACCCTGCAAGTAGACTGGTTCCCAATCCCTGCATTATCCGACCGCGAGTCCATGAACCTGTGGAGCGATGATTGCATGGTTGGGGGTGTAACTTGAAATATAGCATAGACAATACATGTTTAAAGTCTACAATGTGTGAATGTTTATATGTTTGATTTACAGCTGATGGGGACTATGAGCGTATTTGGTTGGAGCACTGCGAGGATGAGGCTAGTCTGGATGAGTACGCCTTTGCTATGCAACATCTGGCCACGGAGCATTGGTCTAGCAAACATCCCGACGACCGCATCAAGTGGTGCCATCACGCCTGTAGGGATTACTTCTTCCGTGGTGGTAAGGAGACAACCAAAATGTCTTGAGTTCTGAACATTGAAAGGGTGACTGCTCTGAAAAAAAATCAATAAATTTAGTGGAGCATTATGAAGGATGGTTCATACTTGTGAATGTAAAGTGAATTCACGGTCACAAAGTATTAACCCTAACACTCCTCAATCCTCCAAAATCAGCCAGGCAGTTTTGGAGGATTTTGGACGATTGAAGCTGTATGGCAAAAAAGTGTTGGTTGATTTTGGAGGATGCATTGTGTTTAGCCAGGCCTTGAATTTGGGAATTTTTAGGGCAAGGCCATTTTGGCCTTGAATGAAGCAAAATTATTGAGGGCACCAAGGCCAGTAGGAAGGGCACCAAGGCCAAAATAATATCTGCAGAAGAAGCACAGACGCCAGCTAAAAAAATGTGAAAATTATATCGGCGATCATGTAGTTTAGGGCCCCTCTTTTGTTTCGATCAAATTTGAGTCAAAGGTGTTTTTTATCATTCATAAAATTACCTTTTCAACCTAAAGCAGACTTCTCTCAGTTTAAATGACACCTTTTTTAAAATTTTGAACACTTTTTGGGGATAGAAATTACATTTTTTGTACGCAGTTTTATGGTTGGTGACGTACGGGCAATCGCCATCTCTATTTTCGTGTTGCGTTTTGTCATTGTCATCGTCATTTTACCCCCAAATTCCCCTCAAGAATTCGAAACCCTTCCCTCTATCTATGACCTACATTTGTACCTGCATGCATGACATGTTCTTAATGTGGATTAAAATTTTGTTCTCTAAAGGGAACCAGGCCCAATACACGATCGCCATTTATATCTTTTGACAATCGGAACTCCATGTGAACGCGTGTTTTGACTACTATGCCCCGAGCTCGTTTGCCTCGTACACGAACATCAAAATGTTGTGTACCGTGCACGTGCAAAGAGAGAAAAAGAAAAGAGAGAAAGAGAAACAGAAAGTCAGTTGACTGTACTTAAGATCTGCCGTACGTACTCCTGCTGGTATGTGTGTGTACAGATACAGACAAATACTTTTGCGGCGGGGTCGTTGCTTCTTGAAGTATCGGCACATACAGGAACTGGAGATTCAGTAGTCAGTGTGTGTATATCGTACATGTTACGTACAGTGTATGGGGAATCTGCAGTGTTTGGCCACGGCCAGCCGTACTGCGCGCATGTGATTGATTCAGCGAGATTTTAAGACAACTGATCGGGCTGGCATGACATTGAAATACATTGCCAATAATGTGGAAAAACAACTGAAATCAAAGATTGTAGTGGTTTTAATAGGCTGATGGATGTTTTTGCAAAAAGGGCACGACGGCCAAGGTAATTATGGGGCAAGGCAAAACTGGCCGTGAAGACAGGGATTTTTTGTGGGGCACCTCGGCCAGTAAGAAGGCAAAGACAGCACTGGCCGTCATTCAATTCAAGCCCTGAAAGTTTACACCAAGTACATGTATGAACCAGTCTTTAGAGTTCAAGCTACTGATAAATCCATAAAACAGTGCTTGGGCGGTTTTGGGCGGTACAGGGAGTAACAGGCAGGGCGGTTTGGGGCGGAACAGGGACTAAAAGGTTAACTGGGCTTTGCCATAACAAATAAATTTGTACAGAGTTTATGTTGCCATTTTCTAAAATATGTTTCTCTCCTCCCCCCCCCCCCCCCCCAATTAAAAAAACAACTCCAGGTATGAGCAGAGCCTTAACCAAAGACAAACGACGGAGACAGCATGATCAGGCGAAGCTGCCACCTTTGACCCCAAGGTGTGACCCGACCTACACGATGAATGGCAACCTAGTCAGTGGATCAGGGGATTGTGATCACTGTATACCGACGTCTGCATCCTCAAATCAGTACAATACAATGTGAGTGAGTTTACGAGTTATTTCCTTCAAATTAGCATCAACAAGTTAGATGATTTGACAATTTTAGAGCATGAGTTTTGAATATCTTCTTAAAATAAGAATCTTCTTGAAGATTATAAACACCCTTTAAAAACCAAATTATGATAAAAATAATTTCTGTAGACAAGCAGTCTCGAAAAGACAGGATAAAAACATTACATGATGCAGAGGCAGCATTTTTCAAACAAGCAAAATACTTTCAAGCTAAAAATAAGATAATTAGGCGTTTTTCTTTAACCCCGGGATATTCAACCTCCAGTATTTGTTCCAGTAAACACCTCAAATAACCTCCTTTGCTGACTCATAATTTTCTAAAAATAGCTTGACCCGACCCTGTCAGTTTGTGCACAGTTCAGGTTCGTAATGACCTCTGATGACACGACCCAAGTCCCAGGTGGATTGTATGGCACGTTGACTTGTGAACGACGTGAGTGCTGTCACGCCATTCCAGTGTTTGAAGCTAATAGTGTTGTTAGCGTTAAGTAGGGCTGTTGACATCTCGTTGACAAGCCAGACCCGAGTCACGGCCAGAAATACCAGACACTCACCGTCGTGAGTCAGAGCCTTAGGGACAGTGTCTTAGGATTGCAAGGATCTAGTATTGGTCTTGAAGTGTTTGCTCCCGCAGCAATGCAAGTCACATTCAATACATCACGATCACAAGGAGTTAGAAATATCAAGTGAGACATTTTGTACGATCAAATAAATTTGCTTCTGCTATTGGTGTACAAGAGAAGGAATTGTCTGAGATGTCTGTAGCATAACTCTAGAGGGCGGTATGCTGCTTAGGGACAAGGGGAACGTGGATGGGGTCAAATCTGATTTGTAGTCGAGTCAATCACAAGTCATCGCAAGACTTTAACATGTCTCAAGTCAATCACAAGTCAGTCACAAGGCCTCACAAGTCAATCACAAGTCAATCACAAGTCCTCACAAGTCAATCACAGGTCAGTCACAAGCCAATAAGTCAATCACAAGTCAATCATAAGTCACAAGTTCATCACAAGTCAGTCACAAGTCAATGAAAAGTCACAAGTCAATCACAAGTCAATCACAAGTCAATCACAAGTCACAAGTCCATCACAAGTCAATCACAAGTCACAAGTCAATCACAAATTGACTCCAAGTCCGTCACAAGTCGATCACAAATTGACTCCCAAATCAATTACAAGTCCATCACAAGTCAGTCACAAGCCAATCACGAGTCAATCAAAAGTCAATCACACTCACAATCACAAGTCATCGCAAGGCAATCAGAAAATGACTCCAAGTCAAGTCATCACAGGTCAGCCTCAAGTCAGTGAAGTCATCACTATTCTACAAAGCTATTCAATTGAACTATGACAAATGCATTAATAATCCCCTGTTACTTGCAACCCTTCTTGAGATTTGAGTTGTGTTTGACTCATGCCAAGTTTGTACCTCAATGGAATGTGTATCTTATTTTATGGCACGGCAAAATGTGTTCAACGTCTGTGAATTCCTAACATTTTAATACTGTGTCATTTACACAATGAACTGGTCTTTATGATGGACTCAAGTGCAGGCGCATAGCCAGGGTTGCAAAATAGAATTTCTGCCCCATTTAACCCATTTTCACCATCCCAGTTTTGCTTCTATCAGCGTTCCGATTTTGGTGTTCAAATCTCATTCTGCAATCTGTCATTCTGGGCCCTCACTGGCTACGCCACTGCTCAAGCGAAACTCTTTGGGATGTGTGATCAATTTCGCAGTCTTAAAATAAAAGAGTTGCATTTGAATTCTTGTCCTGTTTTTCTGTATGACAGATCCTTACCGGTGCCAGGCCCGTTGAGATTACTTGATGTAGGTTCGTGTTTCAATCCTTTCTTGCAATATGAAGAGTTTCTGTCAGTAGGCATCGACATCTCACCAGCAGTTGATGTGAGTATAGACCAATCACTGTACACTCAGGAGGCCCCCGTCAATGGCGGAAGCATTGTGCTAGCTATTGTTCAGATAATCCATCACGGGGCAGTTGCTTTGTACAATAGAGCATGCAGTGGTTTCTCCATTGAAAGGGGCCTCATAGGTGTACGGTAATCACATGCCTGAATGCATATACAGGGTGAGTAAAAAAAAACGAAACCCAAATATCGGGACTATTGTTTTAGTGAAGCTCTGCATGTAGCACTTTCAAAATATAGGATTTGAAAGCCCAATTCATAAACTTTGTTGTATTACACGAATCATTCAAATCTGTCATGTACTTTTAAAGTTACGGAATTTTAAACACAACCACCGTTTTAAGGTTCTGTCCACGGATCACAAAAATGTTCAGTGTTCTTTCAGCAAAACAAAAACAAATCACATAGGGATGTGTGTGAATTGTTTTCCTTTTGTTGAAAGAACGCACACCTTTTTGTGATCTGTGGACAGAACTTTAAAACGGTGGTTGTGTTTAAAATTCTGTAACTTGAAAAGTACATGAGTGATTTGAATGATTCTTGTACTTAAAGAAAGTTTATGAATTGGGCTTTCATATCCTAGATTTTCAAAGTGCTAAATGAAGAACTTCACTAAAACAATAGTCCCGACATTTGGGTTTTTTTTTTTTTTTTACTCACCCATTATAGGCAATAAACCTAAATAGAATGTGCATGTTAAGATTTAAAGGTGGAGTGGACCATTTGCAGCTATCCAAAAAGTAACTAACCAAATTATTGTGAAAAAACTTACTTTAGTGTAAAGATAGTAATGACACTAAACTCCTAGTGAAATTATTCCTGGCATGCTGTCATTTTCAAGAAAACAACATAAGAAGGTTATTTCCAAAGATGTGTCAAGTGACACATTTTTTTGAAATTTCCATTTGTAGTTGGTTCGTGATTGGGCGAATCTGTGAAAGGGTGCAAGCGTTGACACGACGCACACGCGCTTGCACCCACTATTATTCGTCGATTCAGTGCGTGACATCATGTACATGTAGCTACCATCGGCGGAATGAGGATCATGTCCTGAAAGCTGATTTTGGGATTGTGTCACGAGAGGGCGCAATTCAAAAAGTGACTCTTGAACTAAAATTGAGATCCAGAATATTGCGTTGTCTCAACTATACAGCATTCACAGAGCTAAAACTTCACCAGAATAGTTGTTAAGCACCCGTCTTTAGATTCTGAGCAATTTTGTTGCTTCAAACGAAAAAAATACACAACTGACAAATGGTCCAGTCTACCTTTAATTAATAAAGAAAAAAAAATAGCTGTACACAAGTCTATGCATATGGAGCCACTGGCAAATAATCTAAAACTTGCAGTTTTTGTACAATCGTAGAGAAAACAGAGAAGATTTGTAATTCTGATTTTGCAATAGTTAATTTTTTATTTTAAAATCAGATAGGATGTTACAAAAATGCAGCATAATGATAGAGTGATTTTGTTCCAGGGTCTGTTATATCAAGAAAAGAGTTTGTAATGTTGATTAAAAACAAAATTTAAAAGTTGAACGAAGAAATTGACTGGAGCAAGGTTTGAACCTGTGACCTCAGGATTGCCGTTCCGGTGCTCCACCAACTGAGCTATCCAGCCCTATGTTGGCAGTTCTCCACTTTGTCAATGTCTTTGTTCAAGGGGCGCTAGTCAGAAGCCAATTATCAATTTTATTAGATTTCTAGTATACCAGTGTTGTCAAACCAACGTTTATTTCCAGTATATATCATAAAACTTAAATGTCTTTTTTAATATTTCCGTTTTTTTTTCTTTCTTTACTGTTGCCTCCAGAGTGTACACAAGTGCGATTTCTTGAATTTGCAACTCCAGCCATCTTTAGAATGCGCGCCAGACACTGTGGACACGTATCTGAGAACGTTGAAGAGCCCCGTAGAGACGCTACCACGTGAGACGTTTCACGTGGTCGTCTTCTCTCTTCTTCTCTCCTACTTCCCCTCCCCGTACCAACGCTGGATCTGCTGCCAGAAGGCCCATCAGCTGCTGCAACTCAACGGTTTGCTGTTGATCATCACGCCGGATTCCTCGCATCAGAACCGCAACGCTGCCATGATCAAGAGCTGGAGGAGAGCCGTGGAGAGTCTGGGGTTCCGACGCTGGCTCTACGTCAAGGACACTCACCTTCATTACATGGCCTTCAGGAAAGTCTCCCAGGAGCTGTCTCTTGCCATGAGCGATGCCGGACCGGACTTGCTGTACATACCCCAAGACTTCAACGAGGATCTTGAAGAGAGCGTGTTTGATGAGAACTACCAACGAACAGGGGAAGAGGACCGTGTGATCTCGGACGGTTTCTTGGAGTTACCTGGCGGAGCGGGAAATCATTTCACATCGGAGGATGAGGAAGAGAACGTGATATGCGATGATAGTTCTGAGGAGTGGTGGCAAGATTCTCAGTGACCTTTGAACCTTGGGATATTTCTGAAACCTTGGCTTCCTTTCCAGCTTCGGGCTCTGCCTTGTTGACTTCAGGTCTTTAAGTTTGGAGCTACTGGCTTATGGGCCCCTTTTCTGCTGCAAGAACATCAAATGTTATATTTCATCACAGATGACTTGGCTCCATTTACTTACTCACCTCTGTTTACCCTTTCTTAATAATCAGTGCAAAACTTACTGAAAAACTTGTCCAAGCAACACCCTCTGTACCCACTGCATGTCCCACAAGAGGCCCTATGACACAAAGGCTCTTCCAGAAAATTGTTTCCAAAATTGCAGAGATAAGTGAACAAAAGAGAGTGTTTTCTTCCTGGAATGGAAAGTCCCTTTAAGTTTTGGCATTTCCATCACAGAAAACAGCTGTGCTCTGCTTGCTGGTGTCATATAAAATTTGGACTCCCTATGAAATCGGGTCTCTTTTACCTTATATGGACTCTAACCCTCACATGTCACCAGTCACTGCCTGAACTATCTTCACATAAGCATGTGCAATACAACTGAGTCTGTATGTCATCAAGTCCAAATATCACACTACACCGGAAATCAGATTTGCAAAGTAACTCTGTGGAGCTCAGTAGAGGAGGGCAGGGACATGTAGCGGCAACCAAATAAGTCTAAAAGTGGGTGAACAGAGCTCATGTTTTCTTTCTAAAATGGAAAATCCATTCAAATTTTGGGAAGTTAATTTTAACAAACCTGAATCCTCCAATTTAATGTGATTTTTCACACACCCTTGGGAGTTATTCTTTTTAACCAGTTCGCGCCGGGATTATTTTGACATTGACCGGACCCAGGTGCAGGATTTGTTTTCACGAACCTCAATGCCAGACGGGTTCAGGCCGTCATCTGCGGGTAGCACATACACCCTGATATATTTCCGGCCTCGCTCGCTGCGAGTGGGTTGCAGACAGATATTTCTGGCCTCGCCCGTTGTGTGTATATCCGTCATCCCTTTCGAACACCGCAAAATCTTTGCGTGTATACACGTCATCTGACGTGATCTGGTTAAGGGCAAAGTTTGTAAATTTTTCCATGTTGGTTCCAAAGCCTACAAGTGGTTCCAAAGCCTACAAGTGGTTCAGAAGCTAGAGGCAAAAGCCAGTGGAGTAAGTGAAGTCGAGGTTTTTAGAAATGCTGTCGGTCTTGCAACAGCCTTGTTGGTTGTTCTTCATTGTGTTGTATCAACTCTGAAATAGATTTGAAATTAGCTACAGCTTTTATTAATGGGGATTAATATATATTTCATCTATTTGTTATAGAATTCATTGTGCATTTGAAAACAAATTGAAAAAAAAAGAAATAATCCTGGTGCTTTGAGAACTATATCTGTGCCAAATATTAAAACCTATCATCTGGTTGTTCATGATGAATTTCTTTTGTTTTGACTCGCAGTTCTTAGGGCGATGTCACCTGAAGCAATTTATAGGCAAATTGTTCCAGGCTATCTCCAGGAAGAAAATGACTTTCAACATTTAATTACTTGTAATATTCTGAGAAAGTAATAATAATTTGTTTCAAAAATGTACTTTTCTTCACAGGGGCTGCTTTAGCTGATTAAAGTTGCCTCCAATTTACTTATGGATATTGCTCATAAAATTTGAATGCAGATTTTACTTTCTCTTAGCTCAAACCAAAGAATCTTGTACCAAAAGAAGGAGAATAACTCAAATTTTATAACAACTATGATAATATGGTCTGATAGATTTTGTAATAAGGGTCTAATAGGTGCTAAAAGACTAATTTTCTGGTAAGGCCAAAAAAAAAAGAGTCTCCGGTTTCTGGTATGCGCGCGCGTCGCCGTAGCCATGCGCGTCGGCAAAATGAAAACGTTTTTTTTTTCAATGAAAGATGATGTCTCAAAACCGCCAAACTCACTGGTTTGACTGGAATCCTGCTGCTGCACAATTTTAACGTGTTTTTTAGATTGGGTTATGGTCGAGAATAAGCTTAATGTGGCCTCTCTGGACTCCCATATATTTGCACTAAGTTTAGTCGGGCACCATTTGCAGTCATCAGCCGACATTTGAAGCCAAAAAATCAGGTAAAAAAAAAAAAAGCCGCGTCGCCGCACCACTTTTTGGGCAAGCTCCATACCAGAAACAGGAGACTTTTTTTTGTGGCCTAACTAGTTTAAGGATGCATCTGAATTCCTTGGCTGCAGCACTAATTAAAAAGTAGGACAAAGAATAAAAGTGCCGACTTGTACTTTGTAAAGGGGAGGGGTGTTCATCAAGTGCTTACAGGAATTTGAGATCAAGAAGATTGTTTAATTATCCTTGACCACTCCAGCATCTCCCCATTCACCAAAACACACCGTCCTAGGGGGTCATGAACATTTGTTTTCTTAAACTGTGGAGCCCCCTAGTCAACTGTAAATTTAACTAAGTTCATACTGCAATCTGTCAGCTTTGGTGAAAAGCCTTATACATGTAGTAGCACATCATAAAGATTTTGAAAGCAAAGAATAAAATTGTATTACTCTCGCATTTGTAACATGGAAACATTCCCGTGTCATTTATTGGTTTTACTCGCGTTGACCCTTAACACCAATTTACATACCGGCAAGTTTTGTTGCGCATCTATATAAATATGCCAACAACAAAAAAAGTAAGCGCGTTGACATTTACGTGTCAAGCATATTACCACTAACCTGTTTTTGTTCTTTCTCCATTTTGAAGCGGAATGATTGGGGAATTTTATCCAAGGATAAATTGACTCCCTACTGGCAGCCTGGAAACAAACATTTGCAGGTGATTTTTATTATTGGGTTTTTGAAGGCGAGTTTATAGTTTATTTGCAAGCGCAAATGACCAACAATTTTAATTTAACCCGCTGCTATATTAGATTCCAACCAGCAAGCCTATCTCGGCAATCTCGGTGGTCGAGTGGTAAGACGTCTGATCAAGTAATCACTGGGGACAACACTGAATATACAGTGTATAAAAAATACGTCGAAGGACAAAACCCAATATTGAATTTCCATTAAATAATGTAATAAAAATAAAACTCAACCAAAAGTAACAACTCATTATCCCCCTCTCCCCCCCCCCCAAAAAAAACCTTTTCCAAACCAAACTGTCAAAATCTTTTTACACCAAAAACAGCAAATCAACTAAAATATATTTAGTCATCAGAAACAAAAGTTCAGGGAGAAATAAATCAGTCAATTTGATCACGCGACATAAAAAAAGACGTTTTTATTATATCTCATTTTTTATTGAAACAATCCATGAACTATATTACAAGGATATGTAAAGACCATCTACGCAATATTGCCTACTATATATAAAATCTACGTTGTAATAAATAATATATAAATACCTTCGTCTCTCAAAGAATGACACTTGTCAGAAAAAAAGTACTTTCTTATACAATTGAATAGAACTGATAAGATTTGTAAATATTGATCGGCCAAGATGTGAAATGAATATTTGTACATTCCGATAACGAGAGGCTCTGTTTGAATGTCACTAGATTTGTTTGAAATAGTCTGTGCATTTTACGAAAAAATACTGTATTTGGTATTCGTATTTACATATGTGCACGGACGCAAAATGTAAACCAGATATGATTCACAGGCGTCCAATCAAAAGCACTTAAAAGCGACATGCCCACTGGAGCACAGCTCGTACGATTTCATTGGCCGATTCAAATATGCTCATATACTTCATTTGGCATGTGATGTCTAAAGCCAGCTGTGAGCGTGAAAGACAAATATAACAACCATTACAGAATTTGTGTTATGCAAATCGACTCAAGCAAAACTGCAGAAGTTAGATGTGAAAAAGGCAAGCAACATGCATAAGATTTCTTTAGCATGCCCTGAAATTTCAAACACACAAACTTGACAACCCTATTTCTCTCTTTCATTCTTTTCATTTAATAGTAACGCCCGGCTTATTTGAAGGTTGGGTAAGGACAACAAGTCAATATTAAAAATTTTTTAACAAAAATACCTTTTGAGGTGAAATAAATTAGCATGGCCTATATCCTTGTGTGAACTTAATGTGAACTTGATCAACAAAAACAAAAACATGACTTTCAAAAGTGTGCATTTCAGTGTTTTTTTAGTATTATTTTTGCCAATATTTTAGTTTATATAGGACAAGTGCATAGTGGAGAACTCACGACAAATAAAGTAGGCAAAACAACTGACAGGGGAAGAAAACTGGAAGGTGCAATTTTTTTTCCAATTTTTTTTTCTTTTCAGGGACACTTCAAAGTGGGAATATTTCCTAACAGCAGTCTTTCTTAATCTCAAATAATCGGGGAGGGGAGGGGGAATATCAGGGCACCATGGGGAACAAGTTTCATTTTAGGGCCTGCCCTTTTCAGTTATTAAGGCTTTTGTTCCACAATTAAACTTTAATGTACATTTTTAAAAACAAATATGAACATTCAGCATGCACTGTCAAAATACAGTCACATGATTGAAATTATGAGTTGATTTGAGCATATTAACACACAGACAAAACATTTCAGAGATTATAATGATATATGTTTTTATATTAAAACTCCCCTGTACATTAGCTTGAGAAGAAATGCCTGATTTTTTTTTTTTACGTTAAATAAATAGTTGCGACTTTGGGCACTTAGTGGCATACAACCTTCCAAGTTGTAGGCATTTCAATTAAGCCATCCATTCTCACACTTCGAAGAAAAGAAATAAATAAATAAAAAATCACATTCGTAATGTTGAGTCCAGCTCTTGGCAAACATTAACAGACCTGAAAAATTTAAAACAAATATCGTACAATCACTGATTGTTTTGAACTTTGTTGTTATTTTTTTTACATACCCCTGCATACTATGGTACAAGATTGAGTACATAATAGGAATATATATAATACCACATGTACTTTGGGGTTAATTTGAACATCGAATGGGCACTTATTTGTCAGACACGAACCAACTGAAACGTTTTCTTTCTTCACAGAAGACATGGCATACTCATGTAAATACAGGAATCGTTACTACAAACAAAAGTTCAGCCATAATCTCACGCCTAAAAGGGTACATTTTCATGAGAAGTGCCCACTGCATTCTGTTAAGCCTAGGTTTTCACTGTTACATGCTGAACTTAACCAAATCACAATGCGAAACTACTAAAATATCTTACACATGGCGGTTGACAGTTTTTTGGGTGTCTGATGCAAATTGCTGCAGATGAATGCCTTTTCAGACAAGATCCTTTTATATATTCGAAAGCAAACATCACAAACTATTAAAAAAAAAAAAAACACTAAGAAAAAACTGCACACTCCCAAGCTTATATCCAATACCTTTTGTTAAAAACTGTAACCATTCACTGTAACTTGATACTTTTATTTGAGATTGCACAAAATCGATATTTTCAGTTTCGCTTCAGGGGAAAGGATATTGAATTCAAATGCTCACGAATCCTTTGATGCGAAATCTAAGCCTATTCTGAACATTCAATTCAATCCAGCTTTTCAGTAATGTTAGCTTTGGCAAGAATCGGGTTAGATACAATGGCTGTATTACTTTTCACGACAGCTTGAAAACAGAGAAAATACAGTGAACAAAAAACTGATAAAAAAGTACACCACATGAAGAAACTATTGCACATAAATAGAGCGAGCTTACGGGTATATTTGTTATTATAACACCTCACCCACAGATTCTGTGTCTTGATTGGCCGAGAGCGAGTCACATGCTACTTTCTAATTTTGCTATCTTTCTGTGCACGGCCAAAAGTACTATGCGCATAGCAACCAAAGTACTATACCATTAGCAACCAAAGTACTATTTCCACGGCGCGGTATTTGTGTGCAAATTGTATACCATAGCCACATTCTAGAAGAGGTGTGAAATACGTTCAAACTGTTTCATCTTTTGTACTATCCCCTTATCCAAACAAAATTTGCAACACGATATTCTTACAAAACAAATATGGTTAGTCTTCAGGTTCTATATGGAGTAAAATTAAAAAGAAGTAATTTCATTGACCCAAACAGTCAGACAACAATAAATGAGCGTTTTTAATAGAACGAAACACAGGAATGCATAACAGAAAAGATCAGGACTCTCCTAGCTTAATTTGCGTGACGAGTGAAAGCATTACCACTGTGCCAACTTGTGCAACATCAACTCCAAAAAAAATTCAGATTATTGCTGATAAAAAAATTAATTTTAGTCAGCGCAAGAAACAATTAAGTGCCAAAATTGACTGGTTTTTTTTCTTGTTTTGTTATAAATAAGCATATCTTTGGCAATGAATCCAAGTTACGGCCAAAATGTCTGAACTTGGACGTGACCTGATGATTGCTGAGTTTGATACACATGGCTCAACGTGAGGTACTTCTTGGAAACATCTTGGAGACACTTACTAGACTTGATGTTTGGGGAAGCACTACGGACTGACATTGGGAGTAAATTTATCTTTTAAGTCAAGCACGTGATATTGCAAGAGTCAATTACATGGCGCTGCGAAGGAGTCATCTTGAAAATAATTCCAGAAAAATTGGCCGGAGAATTTCACGGATAGGGTTCATTTTGACTAATCGAAAGTCTGAAGGAACTCTGGGATACTATGATGAAATCTGTTCCGTTCTCTATGATGCAACATTAATTTCACAACGTTTCCAGGATTATTGAGACAACTCCTACGCAATCTGGTGTTCTGAGGAGGTCCTTGTGTACTTCAAATGAAAAGAGCAGAATGTGCCAAAAATAGTGGCCCAACAGAAATCTACAGCGTATCTTTGCCATGAAATAAACTTTGTTGCATATGGGTCACACCATATAGTTGGGGTCCACTTTACAACACCATCTTGGATCTACAATCCCGGCCTAACTGGTTGGGGACACTTCCTGAGCCTGCCACGGTCACCCACTCCCCCGGTCAATGTTGTTCTCTCCAGCTGATGGAGCACACACCGCGCAATGAGACACTGAACGGGGGCCGGGGGGTTGGGGTCCCAGCGAGAATTGGCCAGGGTTGTAGGTAGGTGAATAGTAGGTTTACATCTGCGTAAAAGGTCCGAATCAGCTGGTTTTGTCGCTGGTATACTGCAGCATACACCCGTAGCGGTTGACAAAATGCGGGTTTGGATATCGCATTAATTTCCAATTAATTACATGTCTTAATATGGATCCAAGATGGCGCTGTTTCTATGGCAATACACAAAACTGGGCCCCCTCTACTGAACAAAATGGTTTAAATACTTCATGCAAAGCCCTAGAGCTATTATCTATGGGAATCAGGTATATATGGAGAGGTAACTACAACAGTCACAGTAAACCATGCCAATGTCATCACTTATAAAATACTCATAATATTTTTGTTTGTTACACACAGCAAATAATGTGGAATGACCACTGCATGTAGGCACCAGTGTATAAGTGTGCTGATTAAAACCACCAGCATTTGAAATAGATTAGCGTTGATAGTGAAGTGTGAAAAAAGTAAACAAAACAGTGATAAATACAGTTAATTCATTTATGCTGGGCCTGATCCAGGCAAGTGTGGCATGCACAGTCATTTTGGTTATGGAGTGAAACCGATAAATTTATAACTTTAAAAAGTTGCAAACACAAACAAGTTCAACCGTGATACCAGGCTTATGTTGTCCATTACAGTGGTTTGAAATGGTTTCGTCAAAACGAGCCAATGATATCAAACAAAACACAACATGGCCAATTTCATTAATAAATGCTTTGAGCGTTAGTCTTTTCAATCACTCTTGTAAAAATGTCCTCACGGTACAGTGGTGTTTCCAAATCTTCACTCAGTAATGAAGTTTCATTCCCCTTCTTAATGCAACGAGCAAGGAACACTTTAACGGTAATGAAATCACAGATTAAATATTTTGCCAAGAATCTGTTTGAGAGAAGACAGTGTCTGCTTTAATTGCACAAGCAAAAAACCCCATGCGGTTGATAGAGATCGACAGACATGGGGGTGTGGTGGACCATTGCTGAGTGTACTGTTCTGCATTCACGGGATCCTAAATGTGGCCGTGCAAGAAACTTGGTGAATTTCAAATGCAATGTCACTGTTGGGGATAACTACCTGTAACCATGGTGACAACCTGAGCGCATCGGCAAGAACATCTAATCCATGTGACATCCACAAATTGAAGTTGTCTCAGCTTAAGCAGCTGAAGTTGCCACGAAATAAACAAATTTGACTGCTTCATGCGTGATGGCTAAACAGGAAAGCAAACCTAGTGACGGTGTTTTTATGAAGAGTTGACACAATGTACTGATGTAGAGGAAGAAACAACAAACATGACGGACTAGGTTGTGAAGACGAGACCTCTACATGCCGATAAACAATCTCTCCTCCAAACTCAATAAACTCCAAGTCTTAGTCCAATAAAAAAAACAGTTGCATTTATAAAAGAGGGTCCATCAGATACAGGAATCATCTAAGAAGTATGATACATCAGGTCAGCAGTGCGTGGAATAAAACGCCAAGCCTGCTATAGAGTCGTTACGTAAACCATATCTCCTGCGGAGTCTTTAGGTTTGGGCGTGGCATCATCACTATCCTCATCATCATCTTCAGTGTCATTATTCAGATTGTCGTCGTTCTCCGGATCGCTACTGTCACTGTTCCGACGAAGCCTGCCCTCGTGGGACTGGTCGCGTTCGTGTGGCGAGGAGCGCTGCGTGTAATCCTGCAGTTCGTAACCGCCGAGATGGTCAAAGTAAGGGAGGGGGGTCTCCCCTTGATTAGCTTGGATCAGTCTGTGGGCAGCCTCGTCCATCTCTGATTGGCTCATATTGCAGGCCTCGGCAAGCTCGCGCTCTACTGTGCTGATCAGGTCGCGATCGTGGATAGGGGAGATACCTTCCTCCTCCAAGACCTAAGACGAAAGGCAACGAAAACAGTGACCATTAATGTGAAATCATCAGACCAGCAAGATAGAAAGAAAACAAAAATATTTGAGGCATTGACATCTCAGATTGATTTTATCTTTTTATAACACAGAGATAGAGAGAGTTATTAAAGAAAGATAAACAGAATCAGGATTCCACAAACATCAGAATATAGTTTTAAAGAAAATTCTAATTCTGCAGGAATTAAAGAACAATTTTGCTCGATTCAAATTTTGATTTGTAGTTTTTATGTTTGCTTCTTTCACATACCAAAATTATATCCGTCCATCTGTTTTATTAGTTCATTAACACTGCAATCAACTTGGAAAAATTCTTCAGAATTTGAAACTGGAAGTGGCGTGCAGATAATGTTTCATGCAAAGTTTACTTAAATGCTGAATTTATGCAAGAACTGGACACATTAATGACTTAGTTAATATCATGTGCAAAGGCCTATGTTGGTCAGTACGTGCAAAATGTAAGTCAACGATTACTTTTTCTGTTCAATAGTCATAGCTACTTAGGAAATTTGAGACACCTAAAATATCAAGAAATTACAGTTCTACATGACATCTGAAAAAGATTGCAACAGAAAAATACAAAAGTCAAAGAGAAATTCTGCCATCACGTGACCAATCGCATGACTTGTTTCTCTAAAGTTAGCAATCAGATATGCATAATGTAACCAATAAGAACAGGTTTCTATGTATAAATTTGCATAATAATGCATATTCATGCTTTGTCTTGAGTGACGTCGTGCTGTTTGCAGTAACGACAAACCACAAACCTGACAGATCAATCTTGAAGATGACGGGTTAGACGCTGAAAATTTAAAAAGCAGTGCGGTTAGCGTTTTGCCGTCTAATTTGTCCAACAATGACATGAGCGTCTTACAAAAGTTACAGCATTGAGCTGTTTCACTCTTCAGTAGATGCAATGTCATTAAGAGTTATCAGCGGAAATATGACAAACAACAGAAGTGCATTGAAATGAGTATGATTTGATCAATATTACTTGGTGGAAGCTTCTGTGAAACAAAACTTTGCATCCAGATAAAATTATACAGAAATATTTTATGATTTTTATGTTTTTATTATTAAATGAGATGTCAAACTCTGCTGTTTAAGATTCACTCCAATGGTTTCATGCATGTGTTGTATGATACATATTCAGATGGGAATTTTCAGTTTTGACTTAGTAGTCACAATTGTTTCATTATGATTCACACAAATGAAGTCATGCATATTATGTAAGTTTTAGTCCCGTCTGGATGATGACAATTCCTCAGCATGCTTAATTGAATTAGACACCTGTTTTTTAATAGCGTTTGAAAACACCTGTGGCTATTTCATGCAGCTGTCAAGTGCAGAAATAAGCTCAGCACAGAAATATTGGCTTAGCGCAAAACAGATTACCAGCCAAAAAGTCATGCCAAGTACATTGATTGAGACTGGTTACCAGCTGAATTTGCCTCATACATTTGCTAAGCATTTTTGAAAAATTTGGCGCGGCAACTTCGAAAAATTGAGCCCTGGTTAGGGTGTTAGTGTTAAGAAAACTGGAAGTTAATTAAAAGAAGAATGATGTTACCTGGGCAACTAGACTCTCGGCACTCCCTTCCACGTTGTCGGGCAGTTGAGAGGATGCTGACTTCGGACCTTTTGGTATCAGCGGCTGACGAACCTTGGGTTTGGTCAACGCTTTGAAGAACGCAGTGGAGGGATCTCGCGAGGTGCCTATCTCGCCAGTGGAATGTCGCAACGCCAGGGGCTCCTTGGTGTTATTGTTATCCGTCGGCATGAGCGTGTCCCCAGCCCGAGCCCGGCTACGGGGCGGAGTAGGGGTGTGATAGGAGGAGCGGACGCGGCGTGGGGAGGACGGTGGCGTCAACCATAAACGCGGGCGGCCATCGTCGCGTGGTTTGCCCTGCGGAGTCATCCCAGCGACGGCCATGACCTGTTTGTGGACAAATGTACTTCTAGTACAGTAGTCTTATATACGTATCAGAAACAAAAGAGATTAAAAGTAGCCGTGTGGTTTACAATTAAATAATCTATTTACCATAGAAACGAAGAGTGAAAAATCAATAACTAGGATGTATGAACATCATGCATGTTCTGATTTGCTGTAATAACGAGATGTTTGGCAAGAAGTGAAACACTAAACTTTCAAACTTTACGTCAATTTATAAAATCATGAAATGTAAAGTTGAAATGGGTGGAAAAGAAAGGACATCAATTGGTACAATGAGAGAATGGGAAGCGATTACGAGAATCATTACAACAGTCTACTACTGGATCACATACCAAGAGAAAAATTATGGGCAAAATAAACAGAAGAATTATCATTTGATCAGTACATTTCTTGATGTAGTTCCCCCAAAAACCACAATGAGCATCGATTTCTTATACAACAATGTTTGCTGGAATTTGACACAATATTGGCATGCAGACTTTTTTTCTTAAATTGTTTATAAATAAGTACTGAAGAGCATTCCAAATTTAAAAATTACCGACTGCAACATCTATACAAATGATCAAAATTAATGAGATACAAAAAATAACCGTATATGGATAGGCCCACATGCTACACTGTTTGTTTATTTTACGCAATTCATCAAACATTCCAAATGTCACACCTGATTTTGCAAAAATTTGCGGCATTTTGCCAAATGGTTTTGTGTCCATAAAAATATACCCATGGAACTAGCAACCCTCCATGTTGATAAAGAGTTGATCGTGCTAACTGCTAAGTGTTAAATGAGATGTAAAGGCATATAGGATCATTTGCATTTAGCTCAATAGTAACCTACTGAATTATTATCAAAAAGCTTACTTTCGTTAAAGATCGTACTGGTGCTAAAAACCCAATGAAATTATTCCGTCTGGCTTGCTCTTATTTAAAGAAATGAAAGTGTAGGTGATTTCCAACGATCAGTCAATTGACTGATTTTTTTAAATAAAGAGTTCTATTGACGAAATCATGTTACGTGATCAAAAGGTTGAGCATGTTTTTTTTTACCGTTTTCTCAAAAAGTGTAATATCCACTGAGCTCAAACTTCAACAGGTTAGGTATTAACATTCTTCCTTGGATTTTGAGTGGTGTTATTTTTGGAAACGATCAAAATGTACGAAAAGCAAGTAATCCTACAAGCCTTTAAGCTATGGATGATGGAGAAGTTTGCAGAGTTATCTTGTAAAGTGAATAACTTGGGAAAATTGTTCTCTGCACCTTCTTGTTCTTCTCAGAGAAATTGCTCTTTCAGAAATAGTCATTTCACAAGGCATGTCCACAAGCTTCTGCCAAATTGTCAAGCATGATGTTCCCATGTTGTGACCCGATCGGCATAAAATTAATTTCTTTTACATTTTGCAAACTACTATACAAAACACAGCCGGAAATAATAACGTATTTACAACTCAATTAAAAAAAAAAAGGTATATATTAATGATTCGAAGCAGAAATATATACACTGAGTTCAAGATAAATGAGAAAGAAAAGAAGGGTTGGGATAAACTGCAGATGACAAGGATGGTTTGAAGGTCTGATGGAAGGATCCAAGATTCTAGAGAGTACAACAGACCGATACTAAGACAATGAGGTGATGGAGAAGGCATCCGTTTCATCTCTTTACCTGTGCCTGAGCAAGCTTCAATGGCACAGCCGTCTTTCTCTCCGAAGCCAGACGTGGCTCCGGTTTACCCACGCAGGACAGCAGCGAGGAGCCTGAGGTCCTGTGCGTCAACGCCGGCACCTTACGATTCATGGGATAGTTAGCGACGCTGTCGCATTCCCCGCTTGGAAGACTTGACTCATCGCCAGGGTAGTGGGAGGAAGTCGGGAACTCAGAGGAGGTGTGGGGAGAGGCGGAGATACTACGCGAGCCGGAGGAGCTACGGGAAGGTGACGGGGTGTGTTCGTGGCTCAGGAGGGGCGAGGTGGGTGGGTGGGAGTTCTCGGAAGAAGTATCACCATCATCGTCTTCATCATCGTCATCCTCGTCGTAACACTCGGTAGTTAGCGTAGGAGGCGGCTCTCTGAGAAAGGGAGTGAATCAGAGAAAAACTATAAATTAGTTTCTGATCAAAAATTCATCTTTTTACTCCAGAGCCAGTGGCAAAGTCAGAATTCCAACAGAGTTCCACAAAATAGGCAATGCTCTAGATAAGATCAACAAAGTCTCAAGTTAACAATTTCTGTCACAGGACTTATTGTTAGAAATATCTACAGTTTCCCTTTGTGTCCATTAACAACAGAAATATTGAAAGTCACAGCATATTTTTTGTTGAACTATCCTAGCTACTTTGAACCCCCAAAATTTATACATGTAGCCAACCTTAATTAATGCTTGAAACAGCAGACTTGGAGTCTCCCAGTGGAATCTTGTTTTTTTGTGCTACAAGTTTGAGGAAAATCATCAGAGATAAATTTGGCTTTTGTCTGTATTCTCCAAAGCATTAAAGATACCAGACTGAGGGCTTGCAAACGACCTGACAAGTTTGTTCTTTTCTCTGCTATATGTTGGTTTTTGTTTTTTAGGATGATATGGTTCTCTGAATGTGCCACTGATTCTGTCTAATTTCAACATTAGTACACAAACTTTAGAGCAAACAAGTCACTAAAATAAAACCTGTCACAAAATTTGTCCATGTTAGGGGATTGTTCAAGGGATTAAATATCACATGATTACTGTTAAGTGTTACTACCTGACTACTGTTTGTTAAGAAGGGAGATTAAAAAGGACATTTACCACAGCTCCTGAGTAATATTGCACAAAGGATATTTTAAAGATATCTTCAAAAGAGTTGAAGAGATAACTTCAAGTGAAAATTATTCACAAGCATTTTACCATCAAATATATCTCAGTCACCCTCAATAAACAAATCTCAAACAGCTACACTTTCCTAGCAACAAGATTGACTCACAAAGATAAAACTTTGTGAATTCAGGAACGATTGAAATAAAACGCCATTTCACAAAGTTTTAGTCAGTAAGATATTGTAAAAAAAACCCAGATGTATGGATAAACCAAAAGATTTCTTTTACTGAATCTAATGTAACAAATTTTAAGTTCATAAGTGTACTGTTAGTTACAATGATATGCCAAATTGTGAGGATTTCATACAGAACTTCCTTTTTAAAAATTTTCCCTCTAAATGTAGGTTTTCGATCATGCAAACAATATTTTGTTAATTTTGAGATTGACTGAGATTAATCCTCAGATACATAATTAATCCAGATTAAGTACTGGGAGGATTATAATACCTCAGAGAGATAAACTGATAATGGCTGTGGGCATGCTTGAACTGTTAGCTAGGCAATCTAGGGATTAAGTTAAATCGTGGGGGGTAACTGACTGGTTAATCCCATGAGCTACCAATCAGAATACAGTATTATTTAAATGGTCCATTATGAACATCTGATTGGTTGACAAAGTACAAGTGATCAACCAATCACATCGCTGATATACTTCCAGGCTCTGTCATGATAATGTGATTGACTGTCAGTCTCCAACCATTTTATTTGATTAAATGGATCACAACAACCAGTACGGAAAAAAAAATATGAAAAATTATTATCTGATAGGATTTCTTGGACTCACAAAAAAAAACACAATTACGAGTGATGTTGGTGGGGCATGATGGGACTGTTTAGGGGTTGAGCGAAGTGCGTGTTTGGACTGGATTGGACAATATGGGGATGTCAGTGGGCTTGGACATTTTATCAGGAAATTGGAGGGAATATAGGAGTAGTACACATGGTATATGAGCCAGAAATGTTATTTGCAATTAAAGGAATCCTGTAGTTGCAGGAGTTTGTGTTCCTGCATGTGGTGAGGTAAAATAAGCAGGGACTCAGGATGAACACAGAATGGGTTCTTTACATCTTACCTGATTATGCTGGATGTTACAATAAGACAGAAAGTAATTAATTTGTCATTGAGCATTTGGAATGAAATGGATTAAAGTTTAATCCCTAATGTAAAATTTGAGATAAAGCTATGTATGTTTATAAAAGGCAATATTTATCCATTGAATGTGACAAAAATAAGTCTTGGTTAACCTTCCAACTTTGAAGATTTCCAAAGGCAATGATTTGCAGGATTTCTCTAATTCAATCAAATTAATTCATGATTATACAAACCTGTCTGAAGCTTTATATATTTATAAATAACAACCAATTGACAAGGCGGGGTTCAACGCCCCCCCCCCCCCCCTGATGATCGGAGGCCAAGTGTCCGGAGAAAAAAAAACGGTCTACATTTCAGCACGCCTCCCTGCACAAATTTCTGGATGCACCCCTGCTAGCCCCCCTAAAATATAGGCTCTAGAACCGCGCCTGTACTTGAGACAGCTAATTTTGTCTGCATAACAATGGATTCTTTACAAACAGCGCCCTCTAGTGGGATGAATTCGGTAAGGGTCTAGTGCTTTATCCGCTGTGCACCTATGCTCGGGTTCGTACATGAATTGCACACGTGGTAAAAAAGTTGCTAGCACGCACCCTGTGTAATTCACGTGCATCTGCTCTTTATATCACATGGCTGTCGTAACAAAAGCGCCCTCACACAGCGTTCTATACAATATTCCATACAATGTCCATAGAGTGACCACGTTACAACTGTACAAATATATTAGTTAAGCTAACAAACGATATCGATAACCAGGATGAGTTGAAAACAAAAGACAAAATCTACACAAAGGCTTGACAGCTAACGCAGAATCAGCAAAAAGCTCTGATGTTTTTTTAGTGGACGTAGCTTCACTGAACACAAATGATGGCAATTGCCGACCGGTACTGACAATATCGTTAAGACGAAAAAAGTAAACAGAGATTTTGAAAGATCTACAAAAAAATACTTCTTGATCTTTGGAAACAGCGGCTATACATCCAGAAGTAAAATTTGACATTAAGATTGACAAAAACACCAATATTTTTGAGAAAGCACCACGTTTACATAAGCAGACTGTACGGATTAGATAAAGGATTTTGAGCTTATGGCCAAAGTATAAACAGTGATATTGCTAAGATATTGAAATTTACATTCTTCAGAAATCTCATTGTTAAACCAAAATTGATTTCTGTTTTTAACACCTTTTCGTGACATAAATTATAACTATTTTATCTATGTTTCATCTTTTATTTTATATTTTTTTTGGGGGGGTGTTTCACAATACCCTCCTAAAAAAACAAATAAAAACAAAACCAAAACAATAAAATAAAAATTAAAAGAAATTTAAGAAATGAATTTAATACAAAGATTTCTAATATTTACATATTTTAAAAGTTTTGTTTTGCAGCCTTAGAACTCAATAACTAAAACCTAATACATAAACTAACAAAAACAAAAACAAAAGAAGAAAGAAAGTGAGATTTGCAGTTAGTTGGCTATCTGTTAGAATAAGAGGTTTCTGGAAAAGCGAGTGAGTTGTTAATTTTGTAAGAAGCACCAAACGGTCTTACCTGAGTCTGCGGGTAATCCTTAAGATACTCTTTGGTATACTAAACTCATCCAATTGTTAACGGAAAAAACAACAAAAGATGTGTCAAGCATCGTCAGTCGAGACCAAAAGTGTTTACGAAAAGGACAGTGTTTCTCAAAAAAACATCCCGCGATGCTTGAGATACGTTCACTTGGTGCCTTAGTGAGCAGTGATTCGCTCCAAGCTATGTGAATCGAGTCTCTGCTCTCAGACTTTTAAGTCATTAATTTTTTTTTTTTGCGGAAGGGGCGGTACCGAGATTCAGTTTACAATTGTAAGTATTTTGCCGCTGGCTTCCCTCGATACATGAGCTTTATTGTCGGGTTGTTGTATTGAATTTTGTGCTTAATATCCTTGCCAGGAAATTGGGTGATTCCATTCTTAGTAAGGGGGGTTCCGGATCGGATTCAGTGAAGAGTTATAGCTTGGCGATAATGCTGACGGGGAAAGTGGCTTTTTTAGATAGTGAAGAACAAATAATTGGCAGCATCTGAAACAATACCGGCGAGACCCACGTGATTTGAGGACCCTGTTCCTTCCAAGATTTCCTGAAACGTTGTTTTTCCACCTATTAAAAATGACACGTGCAAGGCCTAATATTTTTTGTTCTTTTGCGAGCTGTTGTATATATTACAGTACTTTTTCTCTCTTTGAACAATGTCAACACAACTGAACTAAAACAATGATTGAAGTAACATGTGAATGTATTAACCTATTAATTCTTTCTCTGAACTGCCCTGCCTGTTACTCCCTGTACTACCAAAACCACCCATGTACTTTACGGATCGATGAATTCTTCAAGGAATAAATGCAATGTATTAAAGACAATAGTATGGGTGCTAATGAGTTGTTTTAAATTACATATGAAACTAATTATTTTGACTCAAACTGCTTACAGTTGAATTGTTATTTGCATCAATCAGAAATGTTTATAGCATTACAGCAGTAACATGACTTCCAGCTGCTTTTGATTTTTCTTGATACATGTTTTGACTTTTTAATTGATTGTAAATCAAAATAAAAGAAACACCAACTTTGCGTATCGATTTCAATTTTTTTTTAAATCACGGTGCTTCGAATTACTTGCATATCCCAGACAATTTCTGAGGACACGAGATAAGTGAAGACTGAAGAGCTACGCATATCAATGGAATATTTGAGATTCTCACGATTTTTGTTTCTGGATGTAATAATGCACTCTATGTTCCACAAAAAAGCTGAACAAACACATTCTTGCCCGTGGTCATTTTTCCAGAAGGATTAACATTTTTCTCTACACTTTCCTATTCAGACAGGATTGATTAAACAACTCATTTTAAGAGATTGCTTGATAACTCAACACATTATTCTGGTTGAACAAACACCAAGGCACACTGTTTGCTTGAACAAGTCCAATTTTCATTAAATCTGAATCGGTCTTATTTTGATTTCCGACGAGGCGTTGGGAACGTTCATATGAGCACCTCGGGTAACGAGGGCTCGGGAGATTTATGGGAATATAAAAACAGTGTTTGTTTATGAAGTCAATAGTCTTCGTCAATTCCAAAATCTCCAACGCATGGGTAAAAATTACATTAGAAAATTAAGTCCAAACCTTGTGATTTTTATCAGTGAATGCCTGAACACTTATTAAAAAGTTTTGCAGAACCTAATGTATTTTTAGCATTCCTTTTTATTTATCTATATATATTTTTTCGGTCGTTAGTTTCCCCTAACCCCTAGGTATATTTTAATACCATTTTTTTTTAAATTAACCACAATCTAACACTATGCAGTAACATCAATGGTAAATTAGCATATTCTTTGTGCTTCAAAGGAAGCTGATGTTTTGTGGTGGAAACAATTTTGTTATTTTTTTCTGGACTAAGAAATAATTTGTTTTACGCTGACCGTAAATAATTTCAGTCATATTTCAAGGCAGCTTTATTCAGAATACATTAAAAATTGGAAAACAATTTCAAAACACAAGACTTCTTCAAATGACATGAAGATAAATGATGTCAGTATTACAAATTTCAATCATCCCGTTGGGTACCCATTGAGATATATCAATATAAATGATGATTTCAAGAGAGTGATGAAGAAAAGAAGCTTAAGGATTTCCAACTTACCTTTCAAACCATAACTAGTTTCTGAAGATTAAAATGATGCAAGCCTTACTTTGTCAGAAATTGTTGCAATCATGCAAACAACTTCTTCAGGCCTTCTGAACATTTCATTAAAATATTTAATCTCTCAAGAAAACAGACGAATATGGAACTTTTTAGCAGTACCTAAATCAAAAAGTGCAATGAGACTAACACAAAATTTCATCTGACGTTCAAGTATGTTCAAGTTAGGCAAAGGACGAGAACTGCTTCAAAAAAAAAAAGGTTTTCTCAATAATAAATAACGAGTTTTTCAAACCAACATTTTTTTCCTCAAAAGAAATATTGCAGTTGTATAAACAATAATAAATAACAAGTCTTCAAACCCACAATTTGTTTTCCATATAAAATTTTAAAATGTAATTTTTAAGGCAATATCTAATCAGTGCTAAAAGAGAATCGATAACACACCAATAGTAAGAAAGTCACAACCTAACCAGCAAACTACAACTATTCACAAAATCTATAATGTATATTGGTCTACTAAAACACACATCATTAATTCTTTCTTCTGACTAATTGCTCGAATTTACAGGCAAACTTTGCCCGATTTAGAATGCCAAGAAACCTTTTAAAAGCAATCATAATAATATTGGTCTATATAGGGAATTTATGTCATCAAGAAAAATCTGAAAAAGGGAAACTTGAAAATTATGAAATTTGTAGGGGAAATTTTGTGGATTTGCAAATTTTGCATCAGTATTTCAAGTATTTTTATTTTTATTTTTTAAAACTTTACAAAAGACTTGTTAATGAAATTATTGACGTAAATAAAGCAAACCTCACAATTTTTTCCAATAGCTGAAATCAGTTGATGATGTCTGAGGTTTATGGAGAAAAACAAATTATGCTACTTGGCGACCAAAGCACTAAGCTTCAATTGTTGATGATTTAGTCTCAAAGCCAAAAGTATGAGAGGCAAAATTTCCATAAATGGAAGCTAGTTTTACCCAGAATGAATCAATTTTTTCCGAAAAATATTCAGAATCTGTCCGAAATTGCCACATCAACATTCTTCAGTGGATTCCTTAAGTGAAAGTTAAAAAATTCAATAGGTCTAAGCAATAATGCAAGTTCATTCTTTCATTTACTTTTGTTCTATTCAATTTCATTGCCTCTTCCTCTGCTTCAAATCCCAACCCAAGGAAAACAAGTGATTCCTTTGGTTGGCTTTACATATTACTCCAAGTTTTCCTCAAACCTCTAAAACTGAAAACACCTCAATTCTCTGCCAAAAAGCATTCTTCAGGCTTTCAATCCGCAATCTTATAAAATGTTTACTAATAAAATGACTCCTGTGTCTGTCTTCGCCCAACATTAATATGCATGATTCATTGGCTGGAAGTTAAGGGTCGAAACTTATCATTTCATGATGGCCATTATTTTGCAATATTTTCACAATTTTTGAAATTGTAAAATATTTTGGTTGCTTTTTTTTTTCACAGAACTTCTCCATTCCCCTTCCCTGAATAAGGCAAGTCGGGAAAAAATGTCACAAACACATAAACCTAGAAGTCGTATACTACCATAAAATCACAGCGTTTTTTTAAGGTCAACTTGCATTTTCAAGGAATCCTTATAGTTTTGGCACTGGAAAAGATAAATTTATAAAACAGAATGAAGTACAGTATATTTTTTCTGTTTTTTTCTGCAGAGTTTTATTCTTACCGACTGTAATCCCTGTAGGGTTCCCTGTAAGGGTCCTGGTACGGCTCTCTGGAGTCTCCCGCGTTATGTTCTACTTCTTGCCTTCCTTGTCCTAACGTTCCATAGTTCTGGTCATCGCCATGGATACCGTTACGGTACGGCTGTTCTAGATGGTGATCCTCTTCGGCGAGTAAGGGTTGCATGGCCTCACGACTCTGGCCAGAACTGGGGATGCAAAAAGGGGAGGTATTGCAGTTGAAGTCAAAGAAATCTCAAATCTTCACAAGCCACCCACCACAAGCCATCACAAGTCATCAAGTTATCACAATTGAATCACAGGTCAGTCACAAGTCATTCACAAGTCAATCACAAGTCAATCACAAGTCATCACAAGTCAATTAGAAGTCAGTCAGAGGTCAGTCACAAAGTAATCACAAGTCAGTCACAAGTCAATCACAAGTCAGTCACAAGTCAATCACAACTCAGCCACAAGTCAGTCACATGTCATTCACAAGTCAATCACAAGTCAATCACAACTCAGCCACAAGTCAGTCACATGTCATTCACAAGTCAATCACAAGTCAATCACAACTCAGCCACAAGTCAGTCACATGTCATTCACAAGTCAATCACAAGTCAATCACAACTCAGCCACAAGTCAGTCACATGTCATTCACAAGTCAATCACAAGTCAATCACAAGTCAGCCACAAGTCATTCACAAGTCAATCACAAGTCAATCACAAGTCATCACAAGTCAATTAGAAGTCAGTCAGAGGTCATTCACAAGTCAATCACAAGTCAGTCACAACTCTGTCACAAGTCAGTCACAAGTCAATCTGAAGTCAATCCCAAGTCAATCCCAGTTACTTTGAGTAACCATTCATAGTTTAATTGGAGACTGGCAATAAATGAAATCCCAGACTGTCTGTGTTTGCCTACAAGAATGTTTTATGAGTTATGTACGAATACGGAGAAGATATAGTTATGCACTTATAAGCTACATTATGTTTGACATCGCAGAGTGAACAGAATAAACAGTACAACAATCTCATGAAATGCCAACAAATTTAGGACCAAAAAACAAACTCAAAACTATAAATGGGGTAAAAATCACTTATGAAATTGAAAGGACATGCTGTCTGTTTCTGTTGCAATGCCAATAAAATCGGGAACACACATGGTCACACGATCTTATCATCTTTGGCCAATAGAGGGAGCTCTGGGTTGATTTAATCGGTCCATGTATTGCATAGAGGGCCAATTCTCTTGTTTAATTAATCCCAGGCACTGCTGGAGTTCAACACAATATCTACACACCTGTGTCGATGGTTCCTACCAGTCACGTTGTTGGGCGAGTACCGCTGGGCACCGACCGGCGAGAAACCAGTGGAGTTGGGTGACGATATATGTAGCGAGTTCCCCGTAGGGGGTCTGCCACCCCTGAAGGACCCCCCACCGGACGACATGCTGTACGGCGACCGGCTACGCGGCGTGTAGCTGTAACTATTCAACGAGTTTGCTGGTGAGAGTTTTCGATGTTGGTTGGACGGAGAGACTGCGAGGTTGTTGGCGAGGGGGATGTTGTGGGGGTGGGTGGCGTTGGTCTGGGGGGCGGACTGGCGGCGATTGTGGTACATGTTGAGCATATTGCCAAAAAGCGAATGACTCCGCTGAAAATGGAAAAATAACATAACATCCATCGATACACACTTATTGTAAATTGATTTGCTCAAATTTGTGGGTCAGTACCGAAAGGTTGTTCGGTCAAAATGGGTCCTTGGCTCAAATCTTGAGCTAAGAGTTTTTCCCAAGGAATTTGTCAAAAATACCAATTTCAGAAGAAGAAATACATGAAACATATTGGACTTCTGTAAGGACCTTTCTGATGTTATGATAAACATCGATTAACCTTAACTCGATCATTTGTATGAAAAAAATAATATTAAATTGAAGGATTCGGGACTGTTAAAGATTTAAGAATCAACCATAAAAGTTTCCATGAATTCCGACAAACTTGATGTTGAGGAATGTTCACTCAACAACCAAAAAGCAAGATAACAATATCCAACAATGTATATAAAGTCAATGAGCATTTTTAACTCCAAAAATACTATCGGCTACCATCACAGAACATGATTTTAACAAAAGAAAACTTACATGAGACTCACGTTGTACATGTACCAAATTTCTTGCAAGAGACTCTTGTTAAAAGTCTTTGACTTGGTGTAACAAATAATATAAGAAGCATCATACCCTGTGTGATGGTTCGTCTAGTTCCACAGCTTCACTGACTTCATCATCCATGTCTTCTAGGTTGCCTGAGATGGCTCGCCTGATCTGGGGACCTATCTCTTGTAGCGTTCGCAGACCAGCCTGAAATAAACAAGAAAAGGGGGAGGGGTTTGTTAGTGTGGAAATTCTTTCAACTAAAAAAAATGAGGTAATGGTGTGTTTTAAGTCTATATCCAACCTGGTTAATGCCAAATATAACAATAGGTCTTGCTAGAGATGTCAATAGTTTTTATTCTGTTTAATTACAGCAATTGATGCTGTACTCAAAGTGTTAAGGCAACATGACATAGTGAACAATTATACAAATATAAATTACTTGTATATACACTAATGAATATGTATATCGTATGAATATGTACGAGTGCTATTATATGTAATGATGAGTTACTTATTCATTGTACATAATCCAGTCATTTATTGGACAATTCTTCTGAGGAAGAAGATGTGATGGAGTGAGATAAATGGAATGTTCCAGATTTTGGCCATAAGCCCCGCCCACTTTTCACATGGTTGTACAGCGACAGCTGTGATTGGCCTAAACAATCGTGGGCCGTGGCTTAATGGATAGGACTCTTCAGAGAGAGAGTGGGCGGGCCGTCACAGCATTATGGGGAAGTTTTTCGTTGTTGGGCTAATTAGGACCGAGTTATGGGGACTTTCTGCTGTCCCCCAGCGTCTGCGGTCCCCATAGTACCATGGGACAACTCATGCGTAGTCCCCACAACTACGGGACAAGTCTGGGTGTACCTGCAGAGCGACCGTGCCCTGTTCATGGCCTTGCATCTTGAGCTGGTCGTGCTTGCGTTTCTTAAAGCGTCGGAAGTAATCCTGAATCAGAAAGGTTGCATAGAATTTGCCCACTGTCACGTCATCATCGGCTGAAGAAACAAAAACAACAAATAAAAACATCAACAAACCATTCCAGCAAATCACTTCTTCAACGTGACTTTACGTCAGCTGTGTGTACTCGGTGAAAAGTTTAAAGGAAAAACATAACTGAAAGCGCCATTAGCTGATGTTGATGTAAATTAACCAGTTTTGTAGTCGAGTCTGTCACATATCTATCACAAGGCCAACACAAGTAAATCTAAAGACCATTCACAAGTCCGGTTACAATATACTGGGGATGAACTTGAAGCATTGCCTTTGTCAGAAGATCACTTGTGATTGAGTAGTGAAGGAATTGTGGTGAACTAGACTACAACAAAAAATAACTATGTCAAATATGGGTCAAACACAAACAGCAAGCCCGCATTTAGGCTTTGTTACTCATCTGAAACAAGACCAGGCTATTTTAAAGGCATGTAGGATCATTTCTGTTTTTCATGCGTTTTGTTCATTTCCAAATAATGACGCCACTCAAAATCCAAAGAGGAATGTTCAAAACCTAACCTGTTGAAGTTTCAGCTCAGTGGATATTACTCTTTGCGAGAAAACAGTGAAAAACCAAGCACAACCTTTTGATTACGAGAAACGATTTTGTCCATAGCACTCTATTTTAGAAATCAGTCAACTGATTGATGCTTGGAAATCACCTACATTTCTTGATTTCTCGTAAATGAAAGCAAGCCAGACGGAATAATTTCACAGGGTGTTAAGCACCAGTGCAATGTTTAATCCAAGTAAGATTTTTGTTAATAATTTGGTGGGTTACTTTTGGGATAAATGCAAATGATACTATATGCCTCTTAGCACTGGTACAAAACAGAAATAGATGCTGTCAGAAATCGTCTTCAAGTGTTTCTACCTCCAGCCGGGGGAACTACTTGGTCCAACATCTTGGTACTCGTCCGCTTCCAAATCTTCCTAATGACTTGCCGCAGCTCATCATTAGCCTTGTCTATGTTACCTGGGGGTAAAACAAGACAAAAATTAGACTTGTATGCAAGTCTAATCCAGAATATGATAGAATGATACAGAGTTATCATCGAGCCAATAAATGACGCAGATTCATCAGAGTAGCAGATCAAACACTGACACCAATGGCTCACAAGTCCATACTTCATAGAATCAAACTTTTACAATACACCAGATTCGCCTAAATCAGGGGCCTAAGATCTCCTGAAGCTAAGGGTGGAGGACACGAAATGTTTCGCCCCCGTGATGTCTTTTACATACTCACCCTCAGTTTTGATTTTCAGCGATGTTCTGATCAGAGCAAAGAGCGTTGCATTAAACATCACTGTGCCGTCACTGTTGAGAGGCATGTTCATTGAGACTAATCTCTGCATGTCAAGAAAACCAATAAAAAAACAAGGACATAGTCAACTCATCTCATCAATGGTCATGAGTCGCAATCACCTTAAAAAAACCCACTTCTACATGTAATGCTTGAACGTCTCTGCGACAGTCAAAACGTCATCTTGAAATTTCTCGACCCTGACGTCTGCTGCACGTAGCTATAGGTAACCAGTGACGTAACTAACCCCAAAAGCGTGGGCTGAATAATCAACTAAACTAGTTCAACTGTAGTCGACTAGCGAAGGCTTGAAACAAGTTAGTCAAAATATGGATAACTATAGTTCTTACTCAAGCTGGCTAGTTCCCGCTCAAACTAACTACAGTAATTGCTCAAACAAGCGCCCTCTGTTGACAATCCCTGGCGATGTTTCTTACCTTGCATGCTATTCTGTACGGGCAGAGTTTGCCGAAGCCTAGAGGAGGTGAGATCTGTCGCAGTAACGCCACCACATCTAAATGCTTGATCTTTCCACTGAATAAAAAAGGGAGAAAAAAACACCAAAAGAACGATAACCATCAGCAAAACCATCCGCGCCTTCTTAATCAGACCTGACTAGTGTTTTCTTGATCGACAACAAATGAAGTAAACTGAGAATATAAAAGTTAACTGAGTATATTGTCCAGGAAATGTTGACCAGGATATTAAAATTGTGTCTTGAACAGGAAATCAAGTTTTACGTACGGACAGTAAGCACTTGAGACAAACCAGGATAGCAATTTACGGACATGTGGACAACACTAAAGTCAATATAATATTATTGACTGTGCAATATTGTAATATAGCACCAGAGGAAATATCTATCTATTGACTGGGGACAAACTTACGTGGCTTCCGGGTCATACTCGGCCCAATTGCGGACAAACTCGTCCAGGTGGTGAGGGCCCAATATGGACCAGTCCCTGGTCAGATAGTCAAAGTTGTCCATGATGACCGCAACAAATAAATTAATGACCTACAAATGGACACCAAAAAGAAAGAATGAAACGCTGATATAGGGATGACATCCATCCAAAAATCACTGATTCATGCTTTTTGTTATAATGGCTCTGAACATCCCGTGGCAGGATCACATGAGGAATGTAGACCGCTGGCTTGCCGAAGGAGATGAAAAAGATCCGGAAACGCTGTCTCAAGCTTGCAGGGCATTGCGTCCGTCACCTGGAGCTGGCCGCTAGCCCAATCATTCTATGGGAGCCTACATGGGGCACTGCCTCATGTAAGAAACGAAGTTCATCCTTCGTGGACATACTGAAACGGCTTGACCACCGCTGACCACCGATGACCACCGCTGAGGAGCTGCGCTCATGCATGCTGGACCAGGACATCTGGACCACGATCATTGGGCGGGCTCAAGCTGCCATATGGCCTCGACTTGATTGATTGATATAATGTGGATTGTAACATATGTTAATCATTTTAAAACAATTCGCTGATAATCTTATGTGGAAGTTGATTTTTTTTGTTCTTAGGCAAAAAAAAATAAGTCTCCGGTTTCTGGTATGGAGCGTGTCCAAAAAGTGGTGCGGCGACGCGGCTTTTTTTTACCTGACTTTTTTGCTTCAAATGTCGGCTGATGACTGCAAATGGTGCCCGACTAAACTAAGTGCAAATATATGGGAGTCCAGAGAGGCCACATAAAGCTTATTCTCGATCATAACCCCATCTAAAAACACGTTAAAATTGTGCAGCAGCAGGATTCCAGTCAAACCAGTGAGTTTGGCGGTTTTGAGACATCATCTTTCATTGAAAAAAAAACTGTTTCATTTTGCCGACGGGCATGGCTACGGCGACGCGCGCGCATACCAGAAACCGGAGACTTTTTTTTGTTGGCCTTAACGGTCTTTTTAACAAACTCTATACTTGTCACTAGACGGCAATCTTACCAGGAAAGAACAGAAGCTGTAGAAGGTCAAGAAGTAGATATAAGCAAAGTCATTGCCACAATTCTCGTCCATGTTGTTTGAGGCTTTCTGGACATGTTTGTCACAAACAGCCGCTGGTGAATAGGAGCATGCCAACATGACCTCCTGCCATGCTTCACCTGTTGCTGACCTGAGAAGAAGAAAAAGGAACCCCCCAAAAATTAAGGATAATGTCAGACACGATTTGTAACAAAAATTTGTTAAAGTTGAACAACAACATTTGCCTGGAGTGGGGTTTGGTAGAGCACTGGAATGGCAATCCGGAAGTTGCAGGTTCACTCCCCACTCCACTCAATTTCTTTGTTCGACTTTTACAAATTGTTATTTTGCACCTGGTCAGTTTCCCTTCATGGTTTATATGAAAGATTTATAATAATTAACATTTTTAATATAATTTAAAGTGCAAACAAAATACCTTAAACACTTGGTGAATTGCGAACTGATTATATCTGCTCAAAATGGCGCTTATTGGAGATGACAAGTTTATATTGGGTCAAAGGTCACAGCCCATTGTTTTAATTCTGCCTAATAGACCATAATCATGTTGCAGCCATTTGATTTTTTTTCCATTCAGACCAATATAACCAAAGCGAGGCTGGATGGAAAAATAGTCTGGTTCATTTTTGTACACAAAATTATCATTCAGTACTGTTATTGGACACAGGGAACATGACTGAAATGGTGGCAGCCTGTTAAAGGCCTATTGAGGCACTTGATACCGTATTCAAAGGATTAAGGTGTTGTGTACAGATTTTGTGACCAGGTGTGACAAGTGTGGCATGAGTGACACGTGTGACATTTGTGATGTGTCACACATGGGATGTGCGAGACACATAGGGCATTTGTGACATGTGTGTGACATGTGACACGTGTGACATGCATGACACATGACGTGTCCGATACATACGGCATTTGGGACAGGTGGCATGTGTGCAGACAAAAACATGTGACATGTGTGACATATGACACACAAATTTAAACCGGGGGTATTACTAGGGAATGTCAATCTTGCCCCTTTGTCTACTATTTTTGCCTTTTTTAAGTCAAATTTAAAGTCAAAGGACTTGTAATATGACTTGTGATGGAATTGACACATTTCACACAGTAACACTGTAGCTTCTTTCATGAAGGATAACGTCCAGACGATAAGTCTTCAAACTAAAATAATCTGATTTAACTGAGGAAGCAACCCTCACCTGAACAGCACAAGAAGCGCGGCCACAAATGTCTGGAAGTTGTTGTTTCGATTAAGAGGTCCGTCGAGGGACGTCGCTATCTTGCCAAACATCTGCAGAAAAATTTTTTTTTTTAATTTATTAATTTTAATTTAATTGTGAAACATTGGGTATAGGTTTACGTAATAAAATTGAGAGAATACTATCTTTTCATTAGAGAAGAAACAATTGAATACTTGAATAAAATATTGAATTATCATCTATTAAAAGGGAATTTACAATATTTGTTTTTGCTGTAATTTTCAGAAATGGATGGATTTTGGGGATTAGTATTTTATAGCAAATATTGTTGCACTGACTTGTTTGAAGTTTTGTGTTCGTAGATGCTGGAAAAACCAGGAAAAACAATCATGTTCTTGTAGTCTGGTTCCCTGATCCCCCTTGAATTGAAATGGAGCAACTTATAGACGTCGGGGAATTGTATGGTCAGGGAACCAGTGAAGAAGGCTCGTACCAATTCATAGATGTGTAATCGCTTGTAAACAAAATTCAGACTAACTAAATATGGTAAATTGGGGGCACTATATGAAAAAAAGCCAATTTTTTTCAAACGCTGGTCGGCCAACCAGCTTTGATCCAAAAATTACAATATTAACAGGATGCTTTAGACTGTCGTTCACTAACAGTCCAGTAAGGTAATAATTTGGTAGTTTTGTATTTTGATTTTTGCAAATGTTCTATATTTCCTTTAAACTGAGTTGAAGATAAGTTTTTAAAAAAAAGGTACCTGCATGCCTATTACAGCATAGATGAAGAACAACATCACTATCAACAGGGCCACATACGGAAGTGCCTAGAAAGACAACAAACAGATTCAATTTGGTTAGAGCATACATGTTGCTAATAAAAAAAAGCACAAAGAATCAGACAAAAACCTTGACCCCTGGTTAATGAAGAAATTCTGGACTCCAATCTAGGGGAAGGTTCGAACCCCACTCCCCTTGCCAAACCTCAAACCCTGATTAATGGAGGAAAAAAATGTGCAAAACTCTAGTGCAAGGTTCGAACCCTACTCTCTTTGCCAAACCTCCTGCCAAGATCTATAAAGAAATGTGTGACTGGTGTCTCGGGCATGGTTCGAATCCATCCTTGCTAAACCTCATCCCCCGATTATAAATATTGATTCAAATTTAGGGGAAGGTTCGAACCCCTCTCTTGCTTCACCTCAACCCCTGATTACTGAAGAAAAACTTTGCAAAAATCTAGGGCATGGTTTGAACCCATCCTTGCCAAACTTCATACCATATAAAAGAAGAAAATTCTCAACTCACAGCTGGGGCAATCACCAAAACTCATCTCCTGATTAATTACTTTAGAAAAATTTGACAAAAAAATCTAGGGCCGGGTTCGAATCCAGCTTTCTCTGCTTACCTGGAAGGACTTGATAAATGTCCAGAGTAAGGTTCGAATTCCCTCTCCCTTACTTAGCAACTTGACCAGTCTCATCACTCGGAACAATCGAAAAAAGTTGATGCTAAATCGATTTTCTGAATCCTGCAAGGACACAACAGACAAACACAAGCCTTGCTTACATTGACTTGTTTTTCTGGTTGACTTGTCTCGCATACATGCCAAGTAAACTACTTTGCAAGAAACATGTCTTCAGTGTCGGAAAGACTTACAACAAAAACTTACCTTTTCTTTCAAACATATGGAAACAAATAATATTAAAAAGAAATTTGTAATACAAAATAATATATTAGCAGCAAATAAAAACTCAATTTAGATTATACAATTTACGTCTTTTAAACATGTTACTCAGCTGCAGAAGCAAGTCCATGCTGCTAGTTCTTTCAAATGTTAATAAATGCACGCCTCTGTGTCCCCTACATATTTGTTTCTGTATCACTGTCATTTAGCGGTGAGAAATGTCTTGCTAATAAGCAGGTACGGTATTTCAACTGCGCATGCGCAGAATGACATGGGTCACGGGTTGTTCAGGATGATCAAACGCTAATCGAAGGCACATAAATGCGCAAGGAAATGGTCGCACGATGTTCACGCGTTAATTACAAGCAGAACAGGCATGCATGTTATACCACGTAACACCGCGTCAGCAATTTATCCTGAATGACCTTTGAACTGGACTACTTCATCGAATACCAAACTGGCTTATTAGGCCAAATCACGTTGTTGATACTAATGTTAATATATCGTTTACCTCAATGTTTATAATATGCCCTCCAACATATATGACAACGGGAACACCATGAATGGAAGTGATTTAAGAAGAATAGAATTCACAGACTTGAGAAGAATAAAATGGATTTAATGACAACATTATGTCATTCATAAAAAAATAAGTGCTTGAAAATGAATGTGCCTGTGACAATATTAAACAGACCAACACAAAGTCTACTGACTTTTCAATCACAAAGCTACAAAAATGAACTGCAAGAAATGTGTTGATAAAAGAATAGTCCTCAATGTTTAAAATTGTTGCTGTGCAATGTATGGATGTTTATTATTTCATGTTCAACCAAGAAAATGTATACAAGGGTTTTTGATATCATTAAAAAAATTCACTGCCATGACTTTTTTTATTCCTGAAAATATATTCAAAAAAAAAAGGTGACACAAGCGAGAACAACGAACAAACAAAATTTGCACATTTGACATCAACAAAGAGTGATTGAAAAACGAAACGAAAATGGAAGTTTTACCGTTTGTGAGGCCTGATTTACCGAGTAAGCGAATATCAAGCGAATCAGGGAAGAAAGAAAAAAAAGCAAGTCAGAAATTATTAAAGAAAACATATGTGCCCATTTAGAGATGGAAACGAGGGAGGAGTTATCAGCCACAAGTGCATGCTGGGATACTAGTTGGTTGTAAATTATATGAAGTATCTAAAAGGGGGCATGGCACAGGCAGGGGGCGGGTTCAGGCAGGGGGCGTGGCACAGGCAGAGAGCGGGCTCAAGCAGGAGGCGTGGCACAGGCAGGGGGCGTGGCACAGGCAGGGGGTGTGGCACAGGCAGGGGGTGGGTTCAGGCAGGGGGTGGGTTCAGGCAGGGGGTGTGGCACAGGCAGGGGGCAGGCTCAGGCAAAGACTAAAGCAGCAGCTTTTAGAAATTGACTTTTTTTTTAAATAAAGAGTGAGGAAATATATGTACGTGTTGTTGGCATATTTTCTACACTTATCACATTCTCATGTTTAGTGAAGACAGAATAGACCATCATAAATTCTGGTATCCTCGGTCGGTCACCATAGTTCTTGCTATGAAAATGGAAACAGCTGCCACACGTATGTAGCACTGACTACTAGCGCCCATTTGCTAAACACGCATATTTGCTCTACCTCTGGTTTTAATGGTTCCAATGCTACTTATTAATGTGCAGCAAGCATGGTTTAAATTTAAGTGACGTCACGCCCACATTTATGTATCTATATCTACTACTGCATCTACCCTTTTTGTAAGTGACTTTGTCATACACGCGCATGCACCACTGATTACAAGCGCCCATTGGCTTTAGCACTCAAGTTGTGGTTCCAATGCTACTTAATGTGCAGTGGACGTGGTTTAAACTGACGTGACGTGACACTTACGAACCGGATAGACAAAACTGCTGAGTAGAATACCACTATACACACAGCAGAAGGTAGGTTTTCATTTTAATATGTTATTCAGTTAACGTGAGATTACGTCAGGCGGGTCACAAAACAGAATCAAATTGGATTGTGTTAAAAATACCAAGGCTGTGTTTGAATCGGTTGTTTTATGACTAAGCTTCAATCTTGACAAACTGCATCTTAGATCTTAAGCCATACACACATTTTTGCCTCAGACACAACCATGTGTACTAACACTTCATTTAGGAATAGTCAAGTTATAGGCGTTATGTTGAGCAAAACCCACATTGCACCCACAGGAGCAAAGAAGCCACTGAGAACCATGGTGTGTGAAGGGGAATCGAACCAGGGTCACCACCTTGCCAATCTGAGAACCGTATTAGCCCATCAGTACTGACACAAGTAAGTTTTAATTTATTCCTCTAAACAGTCTGGGTAAATATTTCAGAATGAAAACCAATAACATTTTGTTTTTACGTGAATGATATCATTTGTAGCAGAGTCCATATCGTCCATTCTCTGTGACTGTTTGCACAATTCTAATGCTTCATGCAAAATAGCAAACTTTGTGTTGCAATTCCAGGTCAATTGAGACAACACAAAATTTGCCCGACACACATTCCATCTTATGAATAGTTTGGTCGTGGTACCCGCTGCTGTATCAGATTCAAACCAGCCAGCTGACCCTGGCAAGCTCTGTGGTCGAGTGGTAAGACGTCTGCACTAGTAAGCAGGAGGTCATGGGTTCGAGTCCAACAAGAGCAGTTTGTGATGTTTTTCTCAGTAACAGTGTTTATAAGAATACGTTGGTGACGGGCAAAACCAAATGCTGTATTTGCGCTTTGAGGACAAATGGTTTCATTCTTTGCTCACAGTAAATCAACATACATTGTATCATCAAGCTAGCAAGAGATGGCAGACAAATCTACTTGATCGATTAATTGTATGTTATTAATTATGTGTAACGACACAAATTAGTAACAAAGTATGCAAAGAGTTGAAGGGATTAGCGTGACTGGGGTTCAATTTGCACAAGAGGGGCTGCTTAGGGGCCCTCATTTTCTTGAGGGCGTACACACTGGGTTTGCTCATAGTTTTAGACAACACCAAGTTATTTTTGACCTTCTCAAAACTCTACATGGGGGAGCCACAAGGGAGAAGGGAAGGTGGCTTGAGCAAGGGGGAGGGGAGGGCGTGCCCCAAGGGGGAGGGGGAGGGCGTGCCCCACCCATGTCCTGCCACTGATGGACACCAATAGAGGGTAGGTTCCAGTAAGATGATTTGATAATCTTGAGACTTTAATCCATTTTTTTCTGAAAACATGCAGGGTAGCTGACTGGAGTAGCAAGACACAGAAAAAAATTGCTAAAGAAGAAAAGAAAAAAACCTTTACAGCCGAAATGTCATGCGATATACGTTGCTTATGAATGGTTCCAGCTGGGTTTTGCTTGGAATGTCAATTTGCTTAGGACTATTTTCTACTTTGAAACTTCATGAAATTGGGCCATGTAACGCAATGAGCCCAGTATGTGTGTAGATATGTAACTGTCCCATCACATTAATTTTGACAAATATTTGCAATAGGCCATTTCAAATTATGGATTTTTTTTGCAATGTCTTTTTAAGTGTGTATGATACCCTTCATAAAAAGGATCTCAGATAAGATCTTTGGTTTACAAATACACCGTTTCCAATGTTGGTGTTCAAAATTTTCAAAGATTAGGAAAAAAAGGAAAAGTTTGATCAAGAATCAGGGGAAAAAAAACAAAGTAAAATCTTCTTTTCTGCTATTTGCAACAATTTCTCACATCGAAAAGTTAGTTTGGAATATTCACACCAGGGTTTCTTAGGAAGTTGTATCTTATGGATTAACCCTACATCTCCCATATCCCTTGAAAATCCACCAGGTTTTGCAGGGGTTTGTCGGAATAAGGAAGGTAAAGCCCAGTCACTATTAAACTACATGCGGCACGATGACCCGTGAAAGTGTAACTACAAAAAAAAAAGTTTCTGCATAGCAATCAGGAATGAGATTGGGCAAAAATGAAAATCCATGAAATAATCGGCAGAGGGTTTGAGGGATGCCAAGGGCCCTAGGGCCATGTAGGGTCTATGATGGATGCTTGTATTTGTCTAAAGGCACCCCTTCCAATACCGTTTACTTTTGGTCTATAAATACTTGTTTACAATGTAAAACCTCAGGGATTAGAGATTTCAAATGGGATTCTTGAAAAAAAAATTCCTGAAATCAGGACAAAATCTTGTCAATAAAAACCTGAATTCAGGTTTACATCCTGACAAATCTGAGCAGTTGATGTTGGGGATTCAGGAAGATTTGGATCAAAACAGTGTCCGGATTTAGGGTTAGACAAGTTAGAGAATGCATGTTAATAATAGAAAAGCTGGGTGAACCATTGTAATAAATTTTGGCATCAAGCAGATATCGTCATGCCACATTATTGGGGGTTTTTTTGGAAGGAAATTTTCTCAGCAAAGGTATGAAAAGGATAGGATGCAAAAAAGGAAGGGAAAAAGAATGATTAAAACCTCGAACGGCAAACCCACTACCATCTACGGACATAAATATATACAAACGACACAACGAAACTGACCCTCTGAATATTCATGAGTTGCATCATGGTGTACAATTCAAGCAATGTTAAAAGAAACAAAAGAATAAGCAAAAAACACAGGAAGAAAGTGTGTTAATATGGAAGTTAATCAGCAAAAAAAAAATTCTACCTTAAAAATACTGCAAACATATGACAATTTTTTGTTCATGGTTTTTATAAGAAATGGTTGACGTTTCTGTGAAATCACTACTCGACTTTACCGACACGCACTGACATTACTGAAGATACACTTTAAACTAACGCACTGACAGAAATCAAGATGCAAGAATGATGATGACAAGAAATTGAAGAAAAAAAACACACATGTTTTACACAAGCGAGCTACTGAACAAGTGAGGTTTCTCATTCTTAAATTTGTGCGGAAACTTTAAGAAGTGTTGCTGTGGCAATAGGTCCAAACTTAATTTTTTACATATTTCATAGTATTGGAATTTTGCCATGCATTCAATATTACAATGCACAGACATTGTTTAATAAATTTTGTAATAGTTACAATGAAGTAAAATATATTCTCTCAATCTTGTTGACAATTCACAGATTGTACTCAACGGATCTTAAATTCGGAAAGTTGTGAGTCAAAAATGATGCAATTAGTAGCTTGCAAAGAATGACATTTACTTTTACTTCTGACAAACTGATGTCTATGATGCTACCCACGACAATCACAAAATCAAACACGTTCCACAAATCTCGAAGATAATTCTGCAAGAAAGAAAGAAAAACAAAGTTAGTGTAAAAAAAAAGATGATTATCTGACTTTCACAAAAAAAAAAAAATATTTCAATGAGTTATATCACATCAAAACCCTCCTATGCAAACATAACTTCTGGGCAAAAACGCCCTTTCAGTCAAAATCAGTCAAGTGACTGTTTTCAACTGTTCAGAGCTCCCGGCCTACATAAAGCAGGTTTGACTGGCTGTGACGGTTTATGTAACTTGATACAGCTATGCTTTGACTGTAGGTGATTGATAAGCCAGCTGTGCCTACCATTTGCCTGCTTTTGTCTGTTGCCTGAATTTGACTAGTCACAGTGCTTGCTTGAAATATGATCTGACTGTTGGTGACAAGGCTGTGTAATAGGCATGGCAGGGGAAGAGGATTGATTGTTTGACTGTCTGTGACTGTTCAGATAGCAGGAGGGTTAAACTACAATAAATATGCTTAGTCCTATGGAGTACCGAAGTGTGACGTCATTAGAACCAGAAAGTGTAGTGCAAACGAATGGAGTACGCGCGTGTTGGTTCACGGGCTGAATCACGCGCTTATGTCTTTTACATGCATTTTGTGCGCGTGATGTATTCACTTCGGTACTCCATTAGGAGAGAGCCAGTCGCGTGAGCGATTTCAAACCACCCTTTAAACACTGCTAAATCTGTAAATGGCAGCGTTTAAAACCATTTGCAAGGCCCGGCACTTCATGCACGTAAATATGCAGCGAGTACAACAGAGTGTTTGAGAACATCTGATATGATCTCCATATAAGGAGAGATATGGAGCACACTGCATGCGCCACGCGCGCTGTTGAAACGGCCCCAAAATGAAGTAAAAATGGTAGAACAAATTCATAGCAAGTTTGTAAAACTGGTCGGCTTTCAAATGGGGATAAATAGTGCAATGCAGCAGTTATAAAATGTGATGTTTCAATACCAGTTAAGGGCCCAGCTAGCCACTGGTAACAGTCCTCGTTTTTGGCTCAGGCCATTATCGGTAGCCAGGCCCTTGACCGGTTTGAAACCACATTGTATCACTAGTTTATTCATAGTGAAAAGTTCTGCTGTTTAACGCCCACTTTTTCGAGATAACTATCTTGACATTTCAATCAAGTCTTTATTTTCCCGTTAATGCATAACCCAATGCCACCTTCACCTACTGGACAAAAAACCCACCCGTACCCCAAATTTCAAAATGCAAGTAACGAGACGCTTATAGGGCAGCCTCGGTAAGTGAGAACATTGAACGAATATTGGGGAACATTTGATTGGTCCAAAAAGGTCAGTGGAACATTTGATTGGTTCATATGGGTAGTGGATGAAAGACAGATTAAGGCAAAAAGGTCAAAGGTTAATCTCCCGGTACTGACCTTTGGTTTGAAGGCAATGACTTTGAGAATACATTCCACTAAGAATATCGCCGTGAAAACTATGTTGACTCTATCTAGCACTTTCGAATACTCGTCTGACTGATCGTAGTACTGCAGGCAGAAAAAAAAAACATCATGGCGTCATTGACACTGTTAGTGGCCAAACTTTGTCTGCAGCATAACGCCGGTCATAACACTGGTGCATATCAGTTGGAAGCTCAGTTATTTCAAAACTTTGTACCTTTGCTGATGATTTCACAAAATTTATAACATATGGAAACCTGATCTTTAAATAGCACTACCTTTTAAAATTACAGACAATTTAGGACTTAGCTTTTCAGGACAAAGTAAAAATGACATTGTAATAGCCTTAATAAACAATTTCCAAAATGTAAAGCCACAATTCGATAAATAAACATCTACTGATTATTGAACTGCTATGGCCATCAGGTCGCCGCCGTTTTGACAAAAGTTGCGCGACTATTTTTTCTGCCTTAAACAGCCAAATATTTGAAAGTTGCAAGAGGAATGCAAACTCCTTGTAATCGGTCTTACCTTCATGGCCAGGACTATGGTGTTGAACATGATAAGCACGAAGATCAAATACTCAAACGGTCGAGAAGTCACTATTTTCCACACTTTCAACTGCTTTGAATTCTTTGGAATGTACTTTCGTTTCGGCTTGACTTTCAGAGCAAACTCTAGGCACTGACGCTGTGGATCAAAGGTTAAATCAAATCATCTTATATCATCCGTGTCACATATATCTTTTAAGGAGTGGACACTACGCATATTGAACTAATCTCAAAATCCTACGTGAAATATTGTTATCGAAGAGCCACTGACCAATCATAAACTGTTCAGTATGCCATGTGACATCACCTGACCAATCATGTCCAACATATGTTCCGATTCTACTCCAGCTCAGGTTTCTTGACTGCATGTGGCCAATCATGAACTGTTCAGGAGCTCACATGGTCTCATTTGTCAAATCACAATCAGCCTAAACACTTGTGTAACTCACAATTCATTAGAAACTGGCCAATCGTAAATGAATAAGAAGGTCATGTGAGCTCATCTGACCAATCATACCTGATTCTTGTCCAGCTCACAATTCTTGAACTCCTGCTCTCCTTCGTTCTGGAAGGTGACGATGACGAAACCCACGAAGATGTTGACCATGAAGAAGGCCACGGCAATGATGTAGATGAAGAAAAAGATGGCAACGCCCAGCTGGTTGTTCCTGATTGGTCCGTGGTCTGGCACACTGGCTGCATCTATGGCTATGTACAACAGCCTGTAGATGGGGAAAGGGGGGAATTCCACTTAGTTGCATTGCCTCATGATTGAAATGAACTACATGATACAATTCATTCGAAAATGGATGAAAAAGGTGATGCTTCAGAAAATTCATAAGTCTATGGAATATCTTACCGACGTGTAGCATTGCCTTACACTTAATATAAAAATATGATATAGAGACAAAATTTATTCAAAAAAAGAAGAACAGAAGATTTTTTTTTTAATCCAGAAGATATAAAGACCACTTACTTTGGCCAGCCCTCAAATGTGCAGATAGTGAAGAGGGTCAGCATTCCACTGCCAACGTTGTTGAAGTTGAAAGAATTCAAATTCCAGTGTCTGGGCTTGACGATGGGGTCTAAATAGTTGCCATCTTTATAATCTATAAAAAAGCCCCTGCAAAGAAAATGTTGTCAATAAATCTTGAATCTCTGCAAGACTTCCTTACTCCTCCCAACTCCAAACAATTAGCAGTGTACGACAGGTGTATTTTATGTACCTATCACAAAATTTGAAAAGTGTTGCCCAATGCAAAGTAACCGTGGCTGTGCTGTACAGTAGGAAGAATAAAATTTGACGGATCTGGCTGAATTAACACTAGGTCTGGTTCTCAAGGCAACCTTGTTCCCCCATTCAGTAAATCTAAATCAGGTAAACGGAAATTTGTGGTTCGTGGAGCTTATTCATTCAATGCCCTACCTACACCTCTTAAATGCCCTTTGGCTGCTACTCTTGCCAGCTTTAAAAACACATACAAAAACCTGCTTTTTTAATGTACTAGTGCAGTACCCATCGATAATGTGCCTGTTATAATGGGGCAAATTGCTTGACCTCTGGTTTTGGTTGCTTACAGCTTTTTGATAACTGCTCATCATGCAGACAATTTAAGCGCGAGATTTAATATTATTCACGCAGAGTTTTATGCAGTGCATGGGTGCTCCTGGGTTTTTTTCAGTGCAATTCTTTGGGTGTGTGTATCTGTGTTTTGTTTGTTTTTACTGAATGGTCCATGATTATTTTTTTATGTATGTATATTTTAAGTGTTTTTATGTACCCATATCTTACTATTTACTATTTTTAGTGTTTTCTGTAATTGTAGTTTTTAATGAATTGTTCTGTATAATTGCTGGGCACCTCTGGAAAACAGTGTACCACTGAGAGGTTTCCCCAGGGTAAATAAGAAATAAATAAATAAATAAATAAATAAGTCAAGTTAAGTTAAGTCTGTCACAAACCAATATGGCCCATCGGGCCAGCGTTTATCACCAGTTTCCTTGGCATGAAACGACTGAGAATATTTCTACTCCCCCTGGATGCGATGCCAGTGTATTGCAAGTTACTCCCCAGCTAATGTTGGTACCCATGTATACTCCTGGGTGGAGAGAGGCAAGTGGGGATGAAGTGGCTTGCCCAAGGACACAACATATGACCAGTAGCTGGATTTGAACCCATGACCCTCGGATCACGAGTCGCAAATCCTAACCGCTATGCCACATTCCTCCCGACTGATCTAAGACCGATTCATATTTGGGGAGAAAGCAAATGCAACCACAGAACTGTGACATCAGGACAAGTGTACACGCTGCACATTCGCAAAAACTTAAAACCCATTTCAACTCCTGCAAAATTCAGAGCGACTGTTTCCTGACGTCAAATTAGCTTTGCATTAAACTCAACCGCATGTTCAATTTACTTAATGAAAGTCAGAATCACCTGAACAAAATGTTCAATTTTTTCGAAAGAAATTGTAACTTACTGGCACTCTTCCTCGGTCATTTTGGATCCGTCCGTGCAAAAGTAGAACTTGCCGCTGAAGAGCTGAACGCCAATACAGGCAAACATGAAGACGAGGAGTAGCATGACCATCATGATGTTGCCGATGGTCTTGATAGCTACAAAGACGCACTGGACCACGTGCTTCAAGCCTTTGGCTCGGTTGATGGCCCTCAGGGGCCGGAGGACTCTCAGAACTCTTAGGATTTTCACTGCTGAGATGGCGTCTTGTCCTCTGTGATGCAGTAGAGGGGGTGCAAAACAGAAATAAATAAAATTACCAACACTTATGATTGCGTGGTAAATTTCCAGAGTGCATGGTTCAAAATAATGAAATGAAGTCAGACACTTGGCGTACACATTCAATAGACGGAATAATTTCATGGAATGTTTAGCACCTATACACTCTCAAGTCAAAGTAAGCTTTTTGAAAAATAATTTAGTAGGTTACGTTTGGGACAAATGCAAATTATCCTACATGCCTTTAACTTCCAAAATGGAGAACGTCCTTTTACAAGTTCAAGCGGTCTATACATGTATATTTCACTTCATGAAGTGTGATGTGATCAAGCTTAATGAGTCGTTTGTCGGCAATTTATTTTTAAGATACATCCCAAAATAGGTCAGTAGGGGTGGAAATTTCAAAATTGAATTTTTTGTACAATCAGAAGGCTTCATATGTCCTCTTTCATGTCAACGATTTTCTTCAGAGAAAAACTCACGATAAAGTAGTTAAAATGTGACAATTTTGCTAAGGAGTTAATATTCAATAACCTGAAATAAAGCATGTTTATTGTTGCTAAATAAACACTTCAAATTTGAATCGTTGATTTCTCTGCTTGATTTCTCTAAGGGCCGACAAATGACAATTTGATAAGGGCTGACAATTGACTCATTTAGCTTGATCGCTTCACAAGTGTTAAAAAAATATCAGTGAGAAAGAACTTCACCAAACTTACTGTGCTCGGAGCGCGATGGAGATATAAGACACTGTAACAACTAACAAGTCCAAGAGGTTGAAGGAATTACGACAAAAGGCACCTTTGTGAACGACTAATCCAAACGAAATAACCTGCATAGAAATTACAGAAATCGTTATTCTAGTGACACTTGATGATCTGAGGCTACTAAAAACTAAAAACGTGGGATTTTCCTGTTCATTTTGGAAAGACTTGTTTAGAAAATGTGGAAATCTCGGTGAAAATGTATTGTTCACAACTGGAGTAGATAAATTATCCAGAACAGAAACATTTGAAGTTTAGTAGCTGTTCACACTGGGCTGTTCCGGATGTGGCCATCTAGTCCTGCCAACTGCACACAAACACACGAGTCCCCCAAATGCCAAACTGCACGTGCCAACCATTAAAAAAAGGCAAATATTCTGCATAGTTACCTCCGCCAAGGAGGTTATGTTTTCATCAAATTTTGTTAGTTTGTTGGTTGGTTTGTCTGTTAACAAGATAACTCACAAAAGTTACGGACGGACTTTCATGAAAATTTTTTTGGGGTGGTCCTTGATACAAGTACAAATCGATTAGATTTAGGAAGTGATCCGGATCTGGGTCTGGATCCAGGATTTTATTTTAAGGATTCTTCACCATTTATGCGAGTATTTCTTTTGGGTGTACTGACAGTAATGGCGGGAAACTGTTCAGCCTTGCCGGAGGTTTGCACTCTCCGAGTGCTTACTACTTCCGGATCAAATTATTAGAAAAATCACGGCAGATTGATTTTTGTCAAAGATAGTTCTGACTGGCTACTCTGATTTTAAGACCGCTCACCTTTAAAAGAATCTCTATCGTGAAGGCTACAGTGAACCCATAGTCAAAATAGTTTAAAATCTGCGGGGAGAAAAAACAGAAGAAATATATTGATAACTCGTTCTCACATTATCATACATGTAGCAATAATAACTATTATCAAATATCCCTTGAAATGACATAATCATGCCTACACTCTTTTGTCTTCTAGAAAAGTTTCTGCAATACAATAAAAACACCTTCTACAATAGACATTATGCATAGCAGCCATCTGAAAGGGCTTTGTCTTTGTTTTGCCTTGATATGCATGAGTGAACCTTTTGTGTTTCTATTGTTACTTAATTAAAATAACAAAGGATGCCCGGTAAGTTGGCTGCAATGTATAAGGTCTTTTGATTCTCTTGCAAAACAAATCATGCACATCTACATATGTTTCTTCTGCATTTTACAGAAAGACTAGCTTGACCGTTGACATTCCTATGTTTTAAACGGACTTGAACTTCTTGCAAACACCCCAGTAACAAAATTCCTTGTTACGAGTCACTGTTTGCGGTATGTGCTCCTATATCGTATTCAAACCAGCTAGCCAATCCGAAGCAAGTTCAGTAGTCAAGTGGTTCAGACCTCTGCACTACTAAACAGGAGGTCATGGGTTTGATTTCCACCCAAGTAAACTTGTGAATTATTTCTCTCACAATCTCTTGAACAGCAAGTAAGCACAACCCGCGGTGAAGGGCACAACCCGCTATAGGCCATTTCCTTGAGCAAACGAGGCATTGTTAAAAAAAAAATGCAATTTCGGGACCACAAACAGACATGAATCCCATCTAAGTGGTGTAAGTTTACATGATGCTTTCATTCAAAAAGTATGTTTTTTGTAATTGAAGTAAACTTTCCAAATTTCTTCAGTAAACATGCTATTTCTACAGGTTTTCCCCAGAAAATAGCATGTTGTAAGATGGAATTTGCGTTGGAGAGAAGCAATTATTTTGTTCAGTGTATTACCCTGATTCACTCAAAAATATGACTAATTACAACTTGAGCTTGACTTACAACGTTTAATAGTTTGTTGATATCTCTGGGGTCCTCAGCTGCAAGCATGATACAACTGACCAGAATCAGCTAATTACAACTTGAGCTTGACTTACAATGTTTAATAGTTTGTTGATATCTCTGGGGTCCTCAGCTGCAAGCATGATACTACTGACCAGAATCAGCTAATTACAACTTGAGCTTGACTTACAACGTTTAATAGTTTGTTGATATCTCTGGGGTCCTCAGCTGCAAGCATTATACTACTGACCAGAATCAGCTAATTACAACTTGAGCTTGACTTACAATGTTTGATAGTTTGTTGATATCTCTGGGGTCCTCAGCTGCAAGCATTATACTACTGACCAGAATCAGCTAATTACAACTTGAGCTTGACTTACAATGTTTAATAGTTTGTTGATATCTCTGGGGTCCTCAGCTGCAAGCATGATACTACTGACCAGAATCAGCTAATTACAACTTGAGCTTGACTTACAACGTTTAATAGTTTGTTGATATCTCTGGGGTCCTCAGCTGCAAGCATGATACAACTGACCAGAATCAGCTAATTACAACTTGAGCTTGACTTACAATGTTTAATAGTTTGTTGATATCTCTGGGGTCCTCAGCTGCAAGCATGATACAACTGACCAGAATCAGCTAATTACAACTTGAGCTTGACTTACAACGTTTAATAGTTTGTTGATATCTCTGGGGTCTTCAGCTGCAAGCATGATACTACTGACCAGAATCAGCAGCAAGACGACGTTGGAGAAGTAATTGTGCGTGCAGATGAAGTAGCAGCCTTTACGGAACCTGTCAAGATGTAGAAATAACAATCGGCAAAATTCTTAAAATTCCCACACTCTTAACCCCACTGAATATGTGGTGGGGGGCATGGGTGGCACAATGCGTGAGGCGCTCGCCTCTACTGCTGTGGCCTGGGTTCGATTCCGGCCTGGGTTCGATTCCCGGCTCGGGTCATATGTCACCACAGCCAGTCAGGCAATGAACACAACTTGGACACATTTCACAAGACGCACTCACGGCTAACTGGCAAAAACCTTTCCCTTCTGGTTTTTGCCTGATTTTTGGTGTTTTTCCCAAATTCCCTGAGGGTTTCCCTGACTGGAAAATGGAAACTCATTTTCAAGGTTTTCCTCGATTTCAAGAGTGGCTCGGAAACCTGCTTAAATGCTATCTATGGAATCACGGAACGATGGAAGACTGATAAGCTGACCTGTTTTCTGGGCCAAAGATGAAGAGCGAGCTCTGTCTAGGCATGGGGGTCTTCTTGTTGGGCAGATCCAGCTCGGATAGACGTCTCGGTCTCGCTGATTGCGTCGTCAAGGATTCCTCTTCTTCCTCATCCTCGTCCTCGTCTCCTGGGCAAAAAGACATCACAAAGAGATGAAGTTGAATCTCAGTGGAAGAAAATAACTCAGTGGAGGAGGAACTTCGGAGCAAATGTCTCAAGCTGACAATCAATTTTGAGAAACTTCATGTTCATCAACCAGAGTAAAGTTTGAAGACACGTAGACAACTTACCTGGTTCTTTGAGAGCTTTCTTAGCCTCATCATCATCGATGTGCACTTGCTGAAAGAAGAAAGAATCGAGAAAAGTCAGAACACTATGTTTACCTCTTAAAGATAAGGATTTTTTTCATTCAGGTTGGGGGCAATTTCAAGTGGTGGCTTTAGACAAAGTTAAGGCTGGGGAAACTTTTTTGTAAGGGTTTGAGACTCTATGGTCTTACCTTCTCTCCATCTTCGGCAGCCCTGGATAGAGAATGGAAAACACAATCAGTTTAGCTTGTTTCTAACATTGTAAAAACGCTGACTTTGAAAACATCAAACAGATTCAACACAAATCATGGTGCTTGGGACAATCCTTTAATCTTTTGTCCTTCCATCTTCATTCTTTTTGTGTTTTTCGTTAGCCAAACATAACTGATGCCAATTTCACGGCGCTGCTTACTGCAAATTTTGTGCTAACCATAGCACAAAAATTTGCTAACCTTAATCACTATTTCAAGGCGTGTGTGTGCTAACGGTCATGCGCATGGAGATTTCTACTGTTAAGTCACTAAATTAAGCAAGTTTTTCCTCTGAGGTAAGCGTGCTTCGCAGTGCTTACTGCTTACGGTCTCCATGAAATAGATGGAGGCTCTGTTGACAGAAAATCATGTGCTTAGCAGTGCCATTACCATGATTACATTGGGCCCAGGTGACTCAAGAAGGAGGATGTACTGTCCAAGCTCTTAAACTTATTCAATTTTTTTTTGATGTAGAAAATTCAGTTTGTATGTTAAATTTTTGTGAAAAAAATTAATACTTTTCTGCATCTGCAACCCTCTAAAAAAGGCTTTTGTTGTGGGTTGCTTTGGCACACAACTTGCAGTCACACCATGTGAGAAGACTGGTTCCCACTCCCTACATTATCGATCAACATAGAGAGGCGGGAACCGGTCTAAAGTACAAAAACTGAATTATTGTCAGGTCAACAAGAATTCAAAATGTGTAATTATTCCATAACTAAGCGAATGCCATTTTTTGGGTCTCATTCAAAAGTAAATAACTGTTATGTAGCTGGAAAAACAGAAATTGGAAAAATTTATCTATTTTCGGGGTGAAACTCGAAAATAGAACAGACAGCACATCTTTCATAATAAAAAAACCAAAGATTTACTAAAGCCGATGTTTCCTTATTCAGAGCTTTCTGCTTCCCATGTAAACTAAAGGACCCTGAATTGTATTTAGTTGCCTGTTTGTCTGCTTCTATCTGTTTGTCTGCTTCTATCCATCTGTCCGGTTTGTTGGTCTATTTGTCAGTCTCCCAACTCACTTGTCATTATTAGCAGCCGGTGTTTCCTTATTCAGAAATTTAGGCTTCTCTTGTGAACATCTAAGGACCTTGCTCTGTATTCAGTTGTCTGTTTGTCTGCTTCTATCCGTCTGTCTGGTTTGTTGGTCTTTCTGTCAGTCTCCCAACTTACTTGTGATTATTGGCAGCCGGGGCTTCCTTATTCAGTGCTTTCCTCTTCTCCTGTAACCTCTTGGGTCCTCGGATCACCCCCTTCGGATCTACTCCTGGTGGTAGCTGCTTGGACAGGTCCAGCTCGTTGGCTCGTCGGATGGATTTGTTCCTCTTTTCCTCCTCTTTCTCTTTCTCCAGGGCTGTCAGGCTTTCGGCATCGGCCAGGTTGTCGACGGCGATGGCCAAGAAGACGTTCAGAAGGATGTCTGGTTGAAAGAGGGCAGCTCAGGAAAACAGGGGGATGATTGAGTGAATAAAATTCTCTGCTGTTGACAAAAACTGAACTGAAATAAGACCGCCTCCTGTCATGTGGCCAAGCTTGGTCACGTGACGGGTCACGTGAGGGCCTCAACGCCATGATGGTGTCGCAAGCTCCTGATACGAGCTCTGTAACTCAAGTCCCAAAAGAGTATCTTCTATTTACTTAATGTGATTATGGGACTGGAAACCAACTTTCATGCTCGAAATACTGAACTGTTTTTATTCACTGGTGTTTCATCTGCTTGTAATGAGTTGATCTACTTTGATTTATATTTTTAAGGTAGGTTTATAACACTTTTCCTTTTTATGAATTTTAGAATCAATTGTGTACATCTTAATTTTCATGTTTATGAGGGTTTCCATGTATTTTCTTATGGATAGATTCTAGTAGCACCATTGTGGATTTATCAATTTACAAACTTTAAATTTTTAGAAAATAATTTTAAAATATGTAGATCTTAACTGAACTTTTGATGATCTTTGGGCTGCTATGAGAAGATCCGAACTTTAGCCTCATCCGGTGACAGCTTCCATGAATATGATACAAATTTAGGTCCTAACACTTGTATTTCACTGATAATATATTTTCAAATACACCTGAGACATGACAACGTCATGGAATCCTGGTGGTACTTGTGCCCACCTGGCTACCGTAAGAAAGCGCATATGTAAACAAAGGGTGAAGTCACTATGTCTTCAGGCTATTAGCAACAAAAGCCTAGCGTTGTACGTCAGTACCGAGGGTAGGCCTTTGTTCCTCGGTGATCGGCACGAGTAGCCGTCTTGTACTTTTATTGTTAATGATCTTAAATGACACAAATTGCTCTCAGCGATAGTTGCAGGTGCGAGGGTATGGAGTCCATGGTGAGGGGTGTTGATGGGGCCGATTTGCAGACTGTCTTCAGGATAATTTTATCCTGTCTGAGGGAGACCAATAAACTGGGAAGCAAACCGGCTGCTGTAAAATCAAAAGGGAGGAGGAGAGGGGGACATCATGTGACATATCGGACGCTCTTCAATGCGAAATCACTTGACAATATCCGGCACTAGATGGCGCTTTTCATGGCAGTATAGAGCACGCGCGGGCGTGAACTAGTCCGACCAACTTGGCTCAAACAAAAGATGGTTGGGCTACTCTAGTTGACTAATTGGAACCAGAGCCTGGGGCAGGGTTGCATCACCGGTTACCAATAGCCGCGGGCATCATAAAGCACAACGGGGAGCCAGGACTTTAGACCATCGTTTGACCAAAGGCATTCGCACGTTGCTATAGACCTTTATCATGCTGCCACCATTTCAGTCATGTTCCTTGTATCCAATAACAGTACTGAATGATGTTTTTTGTGCATAAAGGAACCAGACTATTTTCCCTTCCAGCCTCGCTTTGGTTACATTGATTTGAATGGGAAAAAAATCAAGACGGCCGCAACATAATAATGGTCTATTAGTGCGCAGGCGTAAGTTACAACAAAAATCAACTGCTAGTCAACTAATGGTCCTAACCTTAACTTTTACACAAGGTTTTTTGCCAATAAGGAGTCTAATTACCAATTTAAAAAAAAATGGGGGGGGGGGAGAAGGGTGTCACATCCCCTTATACAATCTGCTTGCTGTGCCCCTGTACGGATCTATACAATACTACTAAGCATAATGGAAGGATACAGTTCCCACAGATGTAGAGGATGAAGAAGTAGATGCTAGCCATGATGCCGATAGAATGAACGCCGCCGTAGGCCGCTATCCCATCATACATCACTTCATTCCAGTCCTCACCGGTTAGAATCTGTCAAGCGCAATTGGAGACAAACAACAATTTGTGTGAAGTTACAAATGAAGCTCCTTTTTTAACACTAGGTATGCAGAATTCAACCCTAGTTCTATAATGCGTAATAATGCGTATTAATAATGCGTGTTTTTAAAGTGCACATATCCACCAGTACTGGTGCTCAAGGCGCTACATCATTATTACCCCTGCTCATTGGGCCAATGAAACATTCCAAATACCATCTCAGCTTCCTGGGGAGTATACAGCTCCATGCTGCCATTTTGGCGCAAAGCAGCTAAATCAACCACAATAACCATCTCTGCCCTCACAGGTGCCCATTTACTCCTGGGTGGGGAGAAGCAATGAGTGACAAAGTGCCTTGCTCAAGGGCACACGCACCATGACCCCGGCTGGACTCGAACCCACAACCTGCAGAATTACCCGCAGACCATGAATTCAATGTTCCAGACCACGAGGCCATGGCACTCCCTCTAAATCACCAGAATTGTAGTGAAGTCCTTCACAAAGTCGAGTCAAAAGTGAATCACAAGTCCTTTCTCAAGTGCAGTCACAAGCACCAGGGGATGAACAATGACGAAGGACTGCTGTTGTCACCGTGATGGACTTGTGATGGACTTGAGATGGACTTGAGATGGACTTGAGATGGACTTGAGATGAATTTGTGATGGACTTGTGATGGACTTGTGATGGACTTGTGACGGACTTGAGATGGACTTGAGATGGACTTGAGATGAATTTGTGATGGACTTGTGATGGACTTGTGCTGGACTTGTGATGGACTTGTGATTGACTTGTGATGGTCTTGTGATGGACTTGTGATGGACTTGTGCTGGACTTGTGACGGACTTGAGATGGACTTGAGATAGACTTGTGATGGACTTGTGATGGACTTGAGATGGACTTGACACGGACTTGAGATGGACTTGTGAGTGCCTAGTGATGGGTTTGTTAAGGACTTGTAAGGGAAATGTGGGGGACTTTTGAGGGACTTGTGATGGATTCGACCGTAACACTGTCAACCCAACGCACCTGAAACACAGTAAACAGTGACTGCCAGAAGTTGTCAAAGTTGCTGCGCGGCTTGTCCTGGGTCTTCTTGAAGTTGAAGCGGCCGCCAAAGACCTGCATCCCGAGCAGAGCAAAGATGAGAATGAAGAGGAACAGGAGGAGGAGGAGACTGGCGATAGATCGCATGCTGTTAAGGAGAGAGGCCACGAGATTGCGTAGAGATGCCCAGTATCTGAGACGCGAAATGGGAGAGAAATTAAACGATTGTTAGGATGAAGACTGATTGGATTATCTTTATTTGTGAAAGACCACCACAGTGGGTGACAAACGTAATAAATCTGGAGACTTCACGTCTTTGTTCTTCCAGAAATTCTTGTGGAAATGAAAAGTGATAAAATGGGTGAAAAAATTTGCAGAAATGTAACTGGAGGAGTTAAGGACTATGGTTTGCTTAATTTTTTTTTTTTAAGTGTCCACCCCTTTCAATTTTGGTTTTGTCCCACCGTACTGCAAAAATGGCAATTACACAGCTTTGCAACTTTCCAAGTTAGAGAAATAAGTGTTACTGTCTGATTTTTCCTCCACTATATTTGAACCGTAAGAGTCAGAGGGCGTGACTTCCAATCCTAAAAGAATCTTTCTTAAACAACGATCCTGCTGAGAAGCTTCTGCTAAAACTTTTACAAGTTTTGTACATTTCAGGTCAATCCAATCAATAAGCTGTTTACAGTAGTTGTGTCATTTCTATATTAGATTTGAAGACAATCATTTTTCAAAGTTGAACAAAGAAAGTTGACTGGATCGAGGTTTTTACCTGCGACCTTCGGATTGCTGTTCCGGTGCTCTAACAACTGAGCTATCCAACCCTATGTTGGCAGTTCCCAATAAATATGGGGAATGCCAACATACATGAAGGGCTGGATAGCTCAGTTAGGAAAAGCACTGGAACGGCAATCCAGAGGTCCAAAAAAATGGGGAACAACCAACATAGGGCTGGATAGCTCAGTTGGTAGAGCAGTGGAATGGCAATCCGGAGGTCGAAGGTTCAAACTCAAGTTCAACTCTAAAAAATATTGTATTGCAATTATTCAGTTCCCTTTGAGGTTTATTTGTAGATTTGAAGACGTCGTTACCAGCTGTTCCATAATTCTCACCTGGTTACTTTGAAGACTCGTAGTAATCTGACGCACCGTAGTACGCTGATGCCGATTGGTTGGATGACACCGGCGTACATCAGGACAACCTCCACCATACTACTACAGACGACGAAACAATCGAAGCGATTGAACAAGGAGACGAAGTAACCCTGGAGACCCAGGCTGTACATCTTGATGATCATCTCCACAGCAAAGATGACCACGAAGAGAAGGTTGCCGATATCTTGGGGAGGGAGGAAAAATTAAGACAATGACGATGAGAAGAGTGTTATAACACTAGCAGGCCTGACAAATCTCATCACTATGTAGACTAAGTTGCAGAGAAATTCCCGGAAAGTTCTGCAATTAAAGTTTGTGGATATTTGACATGTGTTTTGACATGTTTCTACAATCTCCCCAAATTTTTTTCGACAATCTCTACAAATCTATCAGTAAGTGCAACACAAAGTTATGAAGTCAATGGTTGAGATAAGTTTATGAGCAAACTTCAAAATCAGGGATCGGGTTGGCATAGCAGTACTTTCCTCGCCTTTCACCATTGTGACCCGAGTTCGATTCCCGCCGAGGCCAATATGTGGTTTTCAGTCCCGCCTGATTCTGTGGGTTTTCCCTAGAATATCACTCTGGGGTTTTCCTCCCGCCACTAAAACTGTAATTTCCTTCCACATCTTCTACCAAGTCTTATCCATCCTGTTCTGGCGCTTGCACTGTTGGATGGTCGAAATAAATATATAAATAAATACATAACTGAAATCTACCTTGGAAGTACTCAAGCCAAATAGGTTGCCTGTAGTGTTCAGAGGCGAGGATGATCGTATTGAGGAACACCATAATGATGACCACCCAGTAGAAAGCTTGAGATTTGACCGCTTGTCGGCAGAGTCTTCGACACCTTCGATTCCATCGTCTTAAGTGCCGTCTGTAGGTCAAAGGTCACAATCAACAGTCCATATAAGGAGCCACTCATGTCACGATATGAATATTCAGTGGAGTCAAACAACATAAATATTCATGAGCTCCACTGAAGTTGTATGACATGAATATTCAATAGGGCTTCAGTGAAGTCATATGATTTGACTACTCACTGTGCTAAACTGAAGTTGTGTCATATGAATATTCAATACTGGTCAAATGAAGCCAATTGACATGAATATTCATTGTTGCGCTACTAAAGTTATATGACATGAAAATTCAATCTGACAGGAATATTTAACGGTGCTCATAACTATTCATATCATCAATAAAAACAAATATTCAAATTATTACAAGTCCTTACAGACAATACTGTATTCATTTTGTATGCACGGATGTTAACAAAAAACAAAACAAAACTTGAATTTAATTCCATTTACAATTGAGAAATAAATCATGCTACAATATTTGTTTATGTTTCCTGATCGGATAACAAGCTGTTGCGCCTTCCAAAATAAAATCTAAATTAAATTTAAGTTGATTATTAAAGCAGGTAACCCCCCCCCCCCAAAAAAAACAAATTGGAAGGAGCAAAATTGTCTGGCATCTTTTTCCAAGAAGGAGAAATCCAAATCCGATCCAATTCTCTTGGGAACAAGATGCGTAGGAGTGTTTGGACAGTATAAATCACAATGTACTACAGCAAACCGAATCTCCCCAACCCCCCCCCCCCCAAGCCTGGCGACCGAGACGTTAAATTTCTCACTTTTTCCTCTGCATCCAGGACTGCTGTGGTATGTCCCCACTTCCGAGCTCCTCAGATTTCTCTGAGGAATCCGACTCACTCATCGGCTTCGGAACTGCGACAAGAAAAAAAAAAAAAACAACCATAAAACGATGTCAGACAAGCGTGAACCGACCGCGCAAATTTATTTCCCAGAGTCCCTTGCTGTCGCCTCCTTGAGTGGAGACAGGGAACCGGCTAGCCGGTATTCACACCTTCGGTTTACCAGCCGAAACGGAAATCCTAAACCGTTCCCTAACACGCCATGATATGCCGACTGCCTGGAGATTTTGCAAAACTCCAAGGGAACAATTTTGTAACCGGAATTTGTTCGGCACCTTGCTGAGGTGTGAACTGTATGTTAATAAATAAAACGCCTGGCTTAGATTACCTTTGCATTTTTCAACAGGTAGCTGGTGTCAAGTGTGGTGCTCTGTGATGTAGTATCAAAGATTCTGACAGTGCATGGTGCAAGGGTATTCACAAATTTATGAAACAATTTGTGATCGACGTTAAGAATTTGTTTCCGGCACTCACATTTGTTTTCTTTCTATTTTCACTAAGCTTCAATGTACTTCTTTCCTCAATTGTCTGTGAAAAATTTATTCAGTTACAGCTGAGGACATCAATTTCTGTCTCCAAAGGTTTAAATCAAACACTTGACGATCCATATTCACTGTTCATATCACTCAGCCGAATGTAATGGAGCCTTGTAGTTTGAATTATTCCACTAAAACAATCGTAGAAGATTTCATAAGCGATTGTGGTTGGTTCTGCTTCTGCTTCTATTGGTTTCTGCACTTGCATCAGGAGAGTCGTTCTCTATTTTATGGCAAACCTTTTCCCAAGCTGAATAAATTTGACTAATGGTTTATTCCAAAATGTGCAGGCGCCGACGGTTTTGCGTTCAAATGTCCATTCTTGTGGTCTCTCCTCCCCCCCCCCCCCCCCACTCTCTCTTTGTAAACGTTGACAGGGCACTTGTGCAAGGAGTCCGTAGAACTCCAGACCTTTTTGCAGTAATCTCACATTCCAAATATATCAGTGTGCAAATGATAGTAGCTCTCGGGTGTGCAAACATTTTTCTTAGAACATACTATTTACTTCCCGTTGAAGCTAATTTGGTCATTTTCATGCAAAATTTAAATTAGTTAAAGCATGCATTAAGTGTAATAAAAAAGGCCTAAAACATCATCAGTACATCTTCATCAATATGCATGCAAGCTTATGAGTGGATTCTGCCTAACCAATTCCGTTTGAAAAAGGATTATTATTTCAACATTTATACTTATAAAAATAAGGAAAGTATCTTGCCTGTATTTGTCTTTGTTTTTTCTAATTTAATTAACACTGTGCAATTATAGACACTTATCATGCATTATGTGCATTCTAACAAGACTTAAACCACACATGACTACCAAAGTAACAACTGACGACTGAAAGAAAAGAAAATCATTACAACAATTCAAATCAATCACATGTACAAAGTCAACATTTATCCAAAAAAAATAAGTTACTTCAGAGGAACATAATCTACTGTGTCTACATTACAGACCATGTCAAGTGTGCTGTCTTGTTGGCTGCTGACGGGCAAAAAGAGTCTTTCTTGATGTGTCTTCCTTACATGATCTTTTTAACTCCCCCAACCCTTACACAGAAATTTCACCTATCCTTGGGATGGGGGGAGGGGACTAAACCTACACCCCTCAACTACACGTATCTCTGATTTTGTTTGATTAGCCACGCCCCCCCCCCCATGTCTCTCAAGCTTAAAGTTGTGCTCCCCATGCTCTTTAACAATTAGGATTAATTTTTTTCCTATTAATATACTTTCAACTTTTATGATTCCATTCTACCCCACAAAACCTCTGTTTTCCTTTTTGGGACGTCTACAAATCTCTGAGATAAACTTTTTGGTTTGGGACACAAACAGACCTGCTTTGCAAGCAGACTTGCGCCTTGTCCATACATTATCGATACTGACTGTTTGGTTGGAACCAGCCAACACCGCGAGAATGGAAATTATTGTCTGGCAGTACAGTAACAATTCAATAACTATTCAATAACTTAACATGGACCAATTTTTTGGGGTCACTGTATCATTCAATAGTGAATAACTCTTGTATTGCTAGACTAATAGCAATTTAGAAAAGGGATCTATTTTTCGGGATGAACCTCGAAAATAGCATGGGAAACGATCTTTAAAAAGTCAGCCAGCCCCCCCCCCCCCCCATTCTGATTTACGGAACAACCCTTTACTGTTCAGTGCAACATCAACATTTTAAACCTACCCGTATTTCAAGTTATCACGTGCAGTGTAGAATAGTGCTGTTCATTTTTAACCAATGAATGTCGATGTCACGAGCCAACAACATGCAGTTTTGTGAAGAAATAAAAGTGTGACATGGTCTATATGCATGCAACAATACAACTGACTGACATGCACAGACATCTCAAGTGAATCTGTATTTCAAATTCTGCTGTCTTTATGCCAAATCTTTTTCAAATCTTTCTGGGAATTGATAAAAAATCTTTAAAAATCCACAAAATATATATACTTAAGTTCAAACCATCAAATGCATCCATTTTATTCAAAAGATAAGAGGCAGCATGTTACTTTTTATTTTTCAAAAATTCTCCATTGAAAAATGGGATAAATTAAAGTGCTTTTTCTGGGTTTTTTTTAATTTTGTGGGTCAAAGACCTATAGTCGTTTTTAACAAATGATATAAAAAGTCAATCATCAAAATTCACTTGAGACTGTTGTTAAGACAAAAAAATATGCTGAAACTTTCCACTTATATAATATACAATACCTTTTGTGTTAAGTGTGCCAAGTCGTTTCCATAGGACTGTTAAAGCACCCAGGATTTAGTTTTAAAACAAATATAATTATTTAAAACAAAAAAAACCATTAATATTCAAATGAAAAACAAAGCCTTTTTGAGGGCATCAAGAAAGCAAAATATTGGTGCTCCTCAACAAGTTATTAGTTGCTTGGGAATAACAAATAAACAAAAATCCTTCAGCAACATCTCACAAGTTTCTGTAAACTTCGGAAAACGACACAAGTGAAAACATCATTAGTTTTCAAAGCCAAAAGGAAAGAAACAAAGGGTGGTTACGTAGTTTTTATAGCCTTCTTTTTATTGCAGGTTAACTTTGCATAAGTCAAAGGAAAAACTAATTAACTTTGCATTTACAGTGTCACTGGCTTGCTCTGACACAAAATCTGTCTGAAAATTGGGAATCTTAAAATACTACAGGGTGAGTCAAAACCTGCAATGATGCAAAGAGCCATCTTTTTTTCAAAACCAAGTTGAAGTTTTGAATTTTTAAATGTTGTTAGAATGACATATTTGTTAGTAACCTTGTGTGAAAAAAATGAAGTTAATTGCATTTATTGTGTGTTTTATGAACCTTTTTACTGCAGTACCCGATTTACATTTCTGTCCACGAGGCAACGAGTTTTGCATACAAGCTGAAACGGTACAATAGACAACACTAATTTAAACTGACTGAACCTTAGCTCACAGTTTATTTTTCTGTTAAAATTCTTTGTGTTTATGCAACGTTTCTCTGGGCTATACTGTGTCCTTCATTGTTCACACAATTGGAGCCCTGCCCTCTACTTGGCGACCCTGCAAGGCAATGCATGTCTCAGCTCTAGACCTCATGGATGGAAAGAACAGCTCTGGGGACACATTTTATGCTCTTATGCAATTTTTAGATGCCTTGTGGACAAAAACGTAAATCTGGTACTGCATTAAGACAAACAGTAAATACAATTAAGTTCATATTTTTTTTTTTACACAAGGTTACTAACAAATGTCATGCTTACAACATTCAAAATTTCAAAACTTCAATTTAATTTTGAAAAAAAGATGGCTCTCTTACATCAAGTTTTTTTAATCACCCTGTAGTAGCTGTAATTAAAGTGGGTTTATAGAGGTATGTTTTTTCCCGCAGAGCAATGGTTTTGACATTGCATAATAACAAGGATAAAACAAGTTCTGCAAGGACCTTTAGTTTATAGGACAAACTCTGTATGTTATGCATGCATTTTGTTTTGTTTTGTCCTAACTTTTGTCTTTAATATGACAAAATGTAATTGTAACCATTTCTGAAAACAAAGTTAACAATTTCATTTTTTAAATATATGTGTTTTGTTCATAAGTTTAAACAATATTCCATACCATACTTGCATGCACACTTTTCTCCTCTGTGCGTGCAACATGAGGATTTATTTTTCTGGCATGTGAAGAAGTGGAATTTTTATTATGCCCGAATTTGTTTTGTTTTTTACAAAACATGAAAATGTCTAAATTGAGGCCATAGCTTGAAAACTGGCATCCCTTAACAAAAAAGAGGAACAAATCTACAATTTGGTTCAGAAACAATGATGAATACACGAGGAATAAATGTTTTTGAGTATTTTGGGCTCCAGTAATTTAACAAAACGTTTCCACAAAAACACTCCTTCCTGTCAAGTTAAGGCGGCAAAATCACAAATGGCTTGCCTGGCCTAAGGGCCAGAGTAGCATGCAAAATCCACGGTGTTCAAAGGCACTCAGGATCATTTGCATTTACCCCAGAATATACCTTCTGAATTATTATTATTAAAGATCGTACTGGTACTAAACAACCCCTGAAATTATTCCGTCTGGCTTGCTGTCATTTAGAAGAAATCAAGAAATGCAGGTGATTTCCAATCGACTGATCTTTTGAAATAAAGAGTGCTATTGACGATATCATGTTTCGTGATCAAAAGGTTGTGCATGGTTTTTCACTGTTTTCTCAAAAAGTGCAATATCCACTGAGCTGAAACTTCAACAGGTTAGGTTTTGAACATTCTTCTTTGGATTTTGAGTGGTGTTATAATTGGAAATGAACAAAAGACACGAAAAGCAACTGATCCTATATGCCTTTAAAACTGAAGGGATGGGTAAACTGTTTGCTATTTAGCCAATTTTTATTTCTCTACACCTTCAAAAAAGATGAAATCATTTTGATTCCTACCGTGTTTAGGAGGTTCCCCTTGTCTCTCTATCTCGTTGTCTGGATCTATATCCTCTGCAAAAACAAACAAAAATTGGAACAAATATAAAAATCGTCTGATTCGGAATGAAGTAACAAAACCCTTTGAATGCATTGGCCATCTGTGAGGTTTTTGGTTAGTACCAATGAATGCAAAAGAGTTCGAGGGTCATTCCATAAATTATTGGTCCAAAAGTGTGACATTTTGGTGTCCCTATTACACCTGACTTGTTTAATTTGCCATGAAAGTATCATTAAAATTGACTTCAAATTCTTTTTTTTTATATTTTTTTGGCAGGTACTTTGCTTTACATAATCACTCTTGGAGACAGAAGGCATTATAGAATGTGTCCTGAAGTCACAAAATCTTATACAAGATGTAACAGGGACACACAAAAATGGACCCCCAATTTATAAAATGACCCTGTTAGTGGCTGCATTGCAATGAATATGTACCAATCTAAAGCATACTTGGACTTTTGCGAGATCCATACTTTGAAAATAGTTACCGCTAGCATTTAAGCATTATCACAAATGATTTTATGCCTAAATGTGAAATTCCTATTTTGCTAAGCTGCTACCGACTCTAGGGAAAAAATTCATAAATTGAATAAAATGGTAAAAATATAAAACTTCCTATCACAAAATGTTTCAACTGCAAGTCTACACTTTGCAATGATCAATTACTTAAAACTTTCACATTTTTGTTTGTTTTGCATTACACAACAATAACTTGTGCTGTGCGACAATGAAGTTTGCCGTCTGATTCCATGCTTCCGTCAGTGCTTATGTGAGACGATTACTACTGATAATGTCCGGAGAGAGTCCAGCAGGAAATCCCACTCCTACAAAATGTCAAGTCGGAACAAAATGCATTATGCATCATTGCATCTTCGAACGGAGCCATCACGAAAAAGGGTTGCGTTTATCGAGGTATGCCAGGGCATACATCGAGATATGGTAGCAATTTGAGAATCTTCAGGTTTGGAGGGGCCAAAATGGAATTAAGAAGTAGTTTTATCAATTTTGTTAAAGATGTTGTCATCAATGTCATTTCCCAAAAATGCCATGTCAGAACAAATTGCATTTGCAAGGAACCATTCAGAAAAAGGTTTGCATTTATCGATGTACGCTATGTCATACATCAAGATATAAGAGCAAATTTGGATGGGAAACACTGCATGCGCACCCACTCTTGTTTTACTATACTCCAGAGGACAATGCTTTGTGTTTTCCTTTGTCCCTGTAATATAACACTCTCCCATAGACTAAGCACACCAACTTGCTACAGAGGACCGTTTTGAACAAAAGACCCAACTCCCGAGGACTGAAAGGATCTGTTGTTGTCCCTTTGTGTGTCGGTCCTTGGGGTTATGTAGGACACGTGCACGTTGGTTTATTCTGAATGTGCAAAAAGCCATTGCGTCTTTGCGTGAGCGCCAGGCGTTGTCGGCAATATGTTTGAATGCCCGTCCCAGTGGTCTCCCCCAACTCTCCCTTAGTAAACCATTGAGGGGGTACTTGTGCACGGAGTCATATAGGCCCGACCAGCAGGGGTAATAATGATGTTCCACCTTAAAATTCTTACATGAAACTACAGAAGGAAGATGCAGAGAAAACAAAAATCATCTTTATATCTGCTAAAGAGAAGACTACTTGATAAACTTCAGATTTTTCTGAACGGGCCAAGGCAATAAAGGATGAATTAAGTACAACAGAGACTTGGTTTGCGTGGGCAGAACTGCCCATATTGCTCAAGGAGAAAATGGATGTTGCAAATTTGCCTCCATAAAGAAATCCTGGCAAAAGGGAACAGGTGAACGCTAATTAGCATACATGTACATGTATGGCAGCCATACATGAACATGTATGCCTGATGGTTTATCTCCTTCCAATTATGTAAAGAAAAATGAATTATTCTTGTGGAAATATTCACAAATTAACTTTTGTTGAAGATATTTTTTGGGGGGGGGGAGTGTTTCAAGTTTTGGAAAAGACTTAGACATAACCATATAACAGGGGTGACATTGGGAGAAAATAAACAAAGAATCCATGAAAAAAATTCTGTTGGAGCAATACATGGTAATGCCCATTGCAGTTGTTTAAAATAAACCTTTGACCTAAAAGAAAATACAGTGATGAACATTTCTCTTATTCACTTTTTTAAAATACAAAAGTCAGAAGAATAAAAATTGGAAAATGTCACCCCTGGATTTGTCAGTAAAATATTTTGTTTTTATTCCTCGCCAGCACTGATCAACCAACTCCTGCAGGTGGTTTGAGACTCAACGGATACTGTCCAACAAACCAGCCATCATATTGTCGGGCGTACCTCGGAGTGACGTATCGTGTGCACAAAGGCCATAGAAGACACGTCACTTCGTGGTGCACCCGATGATATGACCCCAGGTGCAGAGCATAGAGAGCAAGTGGCATCTGAAACCTCAGGAAATAACCCTTCCTCCACGGAGGTGAGAGTCTTGATTCAAGGTTGTTGCTATGTGCAGCATCTGCGTACTCCTCGGTCAGTGACCTCACGGTCTTGACGAGGTTTCAGAACATTGCCGGCACAGCCTAGGGAGCTGAACATACCAGGAAACGGCACTAATGTGCAAGGATGGATTTGTGCTCAAGCTGATTATGAAAAGCTGTGAATTGCAGAGTCAATGTCCTTGAAGGATGAAATGGAAAATAAGAATATCCCGTAGATTGTCATCTGTCCATGGTCAATAAGTAATTGTTTGTGACACCTTCCAAAGTCATCTCTCTCCACATTGTCTATGGAATACCCAATTGCACACAAGCGTCTATGATATTCGTGCAGATTTGGCGATTAATTATGCAAAACAAGACTGCATCTTGACCTCGAGATTCTGGCCATTCAGCGGACGCCTTCTATCGGGTCTTCCGTAACTCGCTGTTGTATTACAAAAACATGGCAGCCAAATTGACCAATCAACATCTTAGTCCAAATATCTGACTGAACTGAGGTCACAGTTTCTAAAGTTGACTCCAATTGGCGGGCGCGCCGGGTCGCATACAATTTGCATGCTCAGATATATCAGACATTCGTATAGTGCAGCTCTGCACGCGTGAATGTCTGATCCTCAAAACCATCTCAACATGGGGTAGTCTATAAATTTAGGGTCCAAAGTGCGACATTTTCCCTGTCCCGTTACCTTGGTACCTTGTAATTTGCCAATCTAGTATCATTAAGAATGACTTCAAATAATTGTTCATTTGTTGGGTGGGTAGTTTGCTATTCATAATCACTCTTGGAGGACGACTGCATTAAGCAGTGCGTCGGCATACTGCAAGCAGTGTGTCTGATATATTGAATTCACGTTTCACGCCAGCGCACGAATGTACCTACAAGTGTTGACACATAAATACATGTACTTGCATGCCGATATTAAAACCGCGCTATGAAATAATAATAAACTGGGAGGCGGAACATATTTTGCTATCATAAATACTGAATATGGCAGAGTGCTGAATAAAATAATCAGTCAATAAATGGGTTCAGCATCTCCACTGTTACATTACTAACCAATGCCTCGGGGCATGTTTGATGCGCGTCATGTAGAGCTACACATGCAGGGTTATTGTTTAGCTAATGAATATGCATGCTCACCAGTGATACATGTAGTTTTATGTACATGTAACAATATTGATTTTGTAACACAAGTCCAATAGATACATGTATCAAAAGTAAATTGCATTGTTTTTAATGCCAAAGAAAATGTAATCTAGAAGGACAAATCAATTTGAAATCCACTTTTGGTGGGACCAAAACAAAATTTGACTTGATAGTGAGATTCTAACCCCGGACCTCCAGAATATTAATTATAATAGTTGTTAATATTCGTAGTAAAAAAATGACGGCTTACAGCCAGTGTCTACAAAATATCATGAGTGAAACTAATGAGGCCATAATGCCTTGTATAATATGAGTACGGTCTGCCAATCTGTAGAATGGATGCGGACTTCTCCAATGATGCATTGCATGTTAAGCAAAATTTACAATAGCAAACACATATTTTCAGTTTTGTGAAATACAGTGGGCCACCAAGAGGATGCCAGGGAGAGTCCATTTTTCAAGTTTACGGTCAACAAAACATGGCTGCGATTTTACGACATTGTTTATAAATCGGGGCATAGCATTATTGCCGCTTCACAAAAAAGACGATCTTGATAAAAAGAAAAGAAAGACCGATACTTGAATCATTCGCTTACAAAACTATTGACCGGACAAACTAACAATTTTAAGTGTCCTGTGTTGGCGAATTTTTCAACAGTCTCCAACAACGCACTGCGAAAAGTGGACTCTCCGTGGTAACTTCTTGGTGGCGCTCTGTTTTGGGAATTGTCCGTATTGCTTGTATTGAAAATTTTGACCCTCAAAAAGCGTCATCGACAATTTCTGTGTGGACCCAATAATGAGGCTCATGCGAGCACAAACATTCTAGGTCATATAGTGAAGTGATAAATGGCATGTTTCAAGGAGGGGGTGGGGGTTACAGGTAGTTTTTTACAGCCAAATCTTTGCTTGAATACGTTTTACGATTTCATATTTCATGAAAATATTTCCCACTTCCTGTAATATTAATGTCTCTCTTGTCTATGAATCACTCACACACCCACGACTGTGATCTTAAGGACATACAGACGCATGTCTTTGAAAGCAGGTCACTTCGCTACTTCTGAAACTTGATGTTCTTGTAAAACGCCGCTTTATAAATAATTTCCTTTACTTTCCCATTAGCAGAAGCCAACCATCAGTTTCTTGTTCAATTATTCACAATCAGCAGGAGTTTGCGTCGGATGGTTGAGCCAGGAAACGCTACAAAGACACCTTCAAGAGGTTTGAGAGCCTTTATCTCAAATCTCCTGCAAATTTACAAAACAACTGTACTTTCTAAATAATTAACCCTACAGTACCCAACCAACATGCACTTCCTAAAATTGCATCAATTTTCAGAGCTTAAAAACAATCCTACTTTGGCAAGTAGCAAATAGTCATTATCAAAAATCTTGATCTTTAACCTTTTGAGATATTTCTAGCCAGATTTGAACAGCATTTCTACTGCAAGTCCAAGGATGTGAACCTAGAACCTTCTAATCCTAGGTCATGCCACTCAACCAATACCACTGTCTAACCTGTTTTGCATGATCCATTCCAAGACATAACTCAAAGCTCAAAATGCAATTCTGAATTATAGCTGCACTTAGGAGGTGGGATATGAACCTGGAACCATCTCATCCAAAGCCCAGCTTCTCAGCCAATCAAGCAGCATGACTTAGTTCAAGATAAGCATGTGGCATGTGAACCTCAAACCATCTAATTCAAGGTCCAGCCTCTCAACCATTCCTGTCTTTTTAACTGATCTGCTTCCACGAACTAGCTAGCGACAGAACTTTGAAGCTCACAAGCAAATTTAGCCCTTGCTACATTGAGCAGATGGGATGTGAACCTAGAACCGTCAAATTCCAGGGTCAGCCTCTCAACCCTGTGTGTTAACTAACCTGCTTGCATGATCCAGACATAACTCTTGGATCACAAACCAATTTAGCAATTACATGTACTTTGATCAACAGGTGGGATGTGAACCTAGAACCATCCAAACTCAGGTCCAGCTCTTCAAATCTCTGTTAACTAACCTACTTGCATGATCCGGACAAAACTCTTAGATCACAATCCAATTTAGCAATTACTCTGTTCAGCAGGTGGGATTTGAACCTAGAACCATCCAAAAGCAGCCTCTCAACCGTCTATGTTAACTAACATGCTTGAATGAATGATCCAGACACAACAGTAAGATCACGAGACAATTTAGCAATTACTACGATCAGCAGGAGGGAGATGAACCTAGAACCATCCGAACCTAGGTCCAGCCTCTCAACCATCTCTGTTCACGTTAACCTGCTTATATACAACAGTAAGATTATAACAGCTAGATCACAAACCAATTTAGCAATTACTACGATCAACAGGAGGGAGATGAGCCTAGAACCATCCAAACCTAGGTCCTGCCCCTCAACCCTCTCCGTTCACTAACCTGCTTGCATGATCCAGTCCAGATACCCGCGTAAATCCTCCTCAATTTGTTTCTTCTCTCGGAACTTCTGGAAGGCCCCTCGTGCTTTGGCTTTTTCTCTCTCTTTAGAAAACTCTCTGAGGCAGGGGAACAAATAAAGGGATATCCCATCAGAATTGGGTCATTAGAAGTAGCTATAGCAACCAACAGTAAAGAACAAGTATAAAAACACCACATGCCTAATAAGATCGTTTGTACTTCATGCCAAATACAAATTCAAAAACAGTTAAAAGTATCAACACAACCATACTAATTACCATTCATAAACACCTAGGACAGTTTGAACATTCCTATTTGTCAAAAGCCCATCACGTGGGTGGTTTTAAACTGCTGGTAAAACACCGCTAAGAGCCACTGCGTTCTGTGCCACATCACGCAGTACTTGCTGTGCGCACACCAATGTCCATATAAGGAGTTGTTTAGCACTAAGCACGCGAGGCACATACCATACACATGGCTAGAGGGTTTTCACAAATCATGAAGTAAAATGGGTGAACAAAATTGTTAGAAATTTGTCAAATCTCAACTTGTTTTGACTTTTGGGCCGAAAATGTATTTATGAATGGGCATAATAGTGTGCTGGAACAGTTTTAAATTAAATGTGATGTTTATCAGTGACCAGATCCCTAGCCTGTTAAACCACACGTTGAAACTGTTCCATTGAACTATTTTCCCCATATTAAGACAAAGATATAACTTTGGAAAGTTTCACTGAAAAAAAGATTTTGAAAGAATACATTTGCTGTGTAATCAGATCGACTTGGTCTAAACCAGTTTTTATATAAAAATGTTATACTTTTGTTCCTTGCATCCATTTATTCGTCTAAATGAAATTTTCGGTTGAAAATTTCAGCAAGTTTGAAAGTTTTTAAAATTGTTTCTCCAGGTGAAACCATGCACGTGTTTCTATTTACAGTTTTAAGTATTCTTATGTGAAATTTAATACACTTCATTCGTCCTCTTGTTTCAGTTACACAGACAATTGTTTAATGCTTGTTACAAGTTTTATTTTGCTAATTTTCATGAATGTCTTTCATAAATAAATTGACATTCCCGCTTAGAGTATTAACAACTTTGTTTTAGAATGGCCAAGTTATCCTCATTCCAATCCTTGGATGGATTTTATTTCCGTCCTTCCAGCTCAGTCCTTCCAGTCATGTGATACCGGCAAATACTGACGTTATCATGTTCCGACATAATTTCATGTTGGGACATGTAAGCTAGGCCCCCTGGGCCGAATAATGACTACAGCACGGCTACTACAGCAAAGCAGTCGATCCTACAGTGATGCGAGGCTGGCGCTAATTAACGTTAGTATGCTGTAGTCTCGGTTTTAAAGGGAGATGCCACTGAAGTCACGTGACTCCATGCCACAAATCGCCTTTTTTCAGTATAATTACTTAGCATCGTTATAATATTTCTTGCATTTGCGACCGGCTCCACAAAAAAGGGTATTATGTTGCAAAAAAAGGAAATTGAGTTACATACATGGTTGGAAAGCCCACAATGTAAGCTTTCATTTGGTGTATAATAGAGCTCCATAGCCCCTCCCGTTCTGGAGATATGACGTATTTGCATATTAATTACTTCCTTGGAGTTCAAATTACACAACTGAGAAAACAGGCTTTGAAATAGCTGGCTTTGTAGAACAACAAAACGATGCACACAAAATGGCTGTTTTTTTCCAATTGGTTCATCAAAATCAACATTTCTGTGAATGAAACCTGAAACTGTAAGTATTAAAGATGTCATTCATGATAAAAATTGAAAATCACGTTTTGACGAAATGTTCACCCTCTCAATGTTGAGCAGGCCATTACACAATAATGCTCAACGCGACATACCATTTTTTGTGGAGCCGGTCACATTTAATAAGTTCAGTTTAAATCGCTGCAAATCGGGAAACTTTCAAATGGCTTTGTGTAAATGAATCTTGAAAGCCGTCTTCGTCCCTGCCCGCTTCCTTTTTCCTGGCAGTTTATTTATTTTTTTTCAATTCCTACATTTGCAATATATTTTGCAATATTATCTGCAATCTGGGGGGGGGGCGCCCCTGCCTCCTTCAATTTTTTAAAACGTACGGACGAAAAACTATTAATTTTTTTACTCAGCCTTATATAAAAAATCATTCAGAGCATAGTGACCATTTGTAAGTAGTTGTAAAGAGTACGCTAGCTTATACAAAAAAACTTTGTAAAAATGCAACAATTTTCTAAAAAAAATTTTTTAAAGTACATGTAGGACTCAGATTTTTCTCCATCTCAAGATTTTGTAGTTATCCTCCTGATGCTTTCATGAGTGCAATTTATGAATTAATCAACGGCAGTTTGAGAACTAAATGCCAGGGTTTTGCATATTTCCTGGAATGCATGTTCAAGTACGAGCCAGTTAACCCCGTTGAGTTGGCCATGCAATTTTGCCGGAAGCGGTAGAACGTGATTCTTACTGCTTTCCTGCAAGTGCCTCAGAAGATCTCCCAAGCTCCCAAAGTGCCAAGATCGCTTAATGAGGCGTCCATGTGTGGGAGGGTTCTATGCTCATTAGAAATAGCGTGAGAAGCAAACAGACAGAGCAGGCCCAGCTCACGACCGGCTAAGACTCGCATCTATCAATCGGGGGGACCTCAATCTATATCGGCCCTGTTTCCTCAGCTGCAATTTACAGCTCCAACGGCCTTCGATGGAAATGCCTGACGGTGTCAGGGAGACATTTTTAAGTCGTTTCGACGCGTAAATGTCAAGATTACAGCCAACACGGCACCTGGGTTAGGTTCATCTCCTGCGGGGAGGGAATTCCGGGTGGGACGTGTCGTCGGAACTCTAAGATAATGTGAGAAATGCACGTACAAAACTTGAAGTTGCGAGAATATGATGCAAGAGCCCAAAAAGGACGACTTTGTTGTCTCTCGACGCAAAAGACAAGGGCTTGAGGGGGAAAATGAGAAAAAGCGGAAGCTCAACAGATGAGAAGATAAATGGATGCCTCTCAGCACAACTGATGAGTAACAAGACATTGGGATGGTATTCAAACCAGAGTAAAATTTTAAACTTGTTCTAAATCTGAAATTAAGTCAAAGAGATGAAATCCTGTACACTGACTCCTTTTTTTGGTCCTTGTCTCATTTGAATTTCTTTTCAGCAATTTGCATGCAAGGGGGCCACACAGATTTTGTACTTTTTGGGGCATTGGGGAGGGATGGTAATTGTTGATGTATGTTTGCACGTGTACGATTGTCATTCTGTGATAGGAATTACCCCCCCCCCCCCCCTTCATCTGAATGGATTCAAGCATGCTCAACAAAGGATTTACGATTGCGGCACAAAAGAGTTGGGAATTTCCCATCTGAGGGTAGCGAGAAGTTATCTAGAGTCCCAGTTGGCTTCAAGAATTACTTGCTCCAGAGAATGCGATTCAAAAGATGAGCGAGTTGATCAAATATTGGGTGGGTGGATTATGGTCCGTAAAAAGGGTAGATGATATTTTCATCAAAATAACAAAATATAAAAATCACAAGGGAGTAAAAATAGAAAGGTTTCCAATTTCAGAGATTGAAAAAAAAAAATTGGCACGTTAAAAATACAGCGATTGACATTTTCAGGATTCGCTTGACAGAACTACTACGGTGCTCTCTGATTGTTCGGAAATGTCACGTCGAATGCTTCGGGGACGCGTGTGGTATTCTATGGCAGAGCCTCTGATGTTGAATTATTGAGTGAATTACCACACGAAGCAACAGGGATAAACCGGGCACGGGTCTATTTTCAATACTCCAATGTGGTCAGATTCCCTGAAGGCATAGCCAAGATTACCATGGAATGAGTCACCATATCAAAGTCGCCAGTCTACGTGGCTTGGTTTCAAAGAGAATTCTTGGCAACCTTTTAAGAACCAGTGAGCATCTTTGCTGTGTTGTGTGCTTTTTTGATTTTATGTTGGATCAATGATAAATAAGTACTCCAAAATGTTTAAGGAAATCTTCTTCTTAAACAAAGGGATTTGTATAGATGTGTGTGTTGCATTGGCCTAAAATTCCCCGATGCACAATACATGCATTTCAACGTGAATTTACTATAGTGAGGCTAACCAAACTGGTACTAGACTGGTGCCTCAGACCGAGTATGCCTTTTCTTGATTCTGGCACGTGGAAACTAGACCATGATGGATTTCGCATGTGGATAAAATGGCCATTCATTAATGAACCCACAAAATTCATTCATGCAATAACTGAACCTAACAAGCCCAACATTTTATCAATCTGAATTAATCTACTATTTGTTCAACCGCTCAGAGCTTAACAAATTTATGGATGTAAATTTAATTGTAAATTACATTAATATATAATACCACCAAATACATGTGATATTTACAAATTCAAAAATCACTAAAAAATATTTCTATAATATTTACATCAAACAACCATGCCAACATGGAATCATCTATAAAAAAACATGCATTTGTTGCTATGGCGACCACACCATTACACACCAAAAACAAAGAAATACTGCAAACTGAAATCGTCTCATGTCCATGCACACCACAAGCGCATCAGCCTTTTTTTGAGATACGGCAAACACAATAACGGGACGCTAGTTGGAGTGAATAAATGTGGGTAAATACGAAAGAGTTTACCGACTGTAAATGGGCTCCGTGCACAAGTACTCCTCAATGGTAAGGACGGGGAGACCACTGGGAAAGACACTTGAACGCATTTCCGACGACGCCTGGCTACACGTGGAGACACTATGGCTTTGAGCATATTCAGAATGTAATAAGTCGTGCGTACTTTACGTTATATGTGTGCGAAGCGCGCGTGAAGTACGCACGATTTCCTGAATGTGCAAAAGCTATTAGCCTTCGCGTGAGCATCAGGCTTCGTCGGCGCGTGAATACGTTTGAATTCAACTTGCGATGGTCTCCCAGACTAATCCCCGCCTCCAATAACTTTGGATACATTCGAAATACGCAGTGGTTGGATCGGGAACCAGTCTAAGTCACCCTCGAATCTCCTTTTCTGGTCGTTGATGGGGCACTTGTGCACGGAGCCCATAGTGCCCTTGTATTGTGTCCACCGTCTCAAAAATGGCTAATGACCACTTACCCACTCAGAACACCGAGAATGAGATTGAGTACAAAGAATGAACCCAGGAGGATGAGGGTGACAAAGTAGAACCATGGCCACCAACCCTCTATGGCATAGTTGACCTGAGGAGGACACCATGCATGGGTACACCACAGTAGGATACCATGCACCATGGAGAGGGTATACAACAGGTATATAACAGGACACCATATGGAAAACCATAATATGGGTATACCATACAGAACACCATAGAAAAATGGGTTTACCATGAAGTACACAACAGTCCCACGGTAGACAGTGGATATACAGTACAGAACAGCATGGAGTGCACCCAGATACGGTAGACAATGGATACCATGCAGAACACCATGATACCAAGGTAGAAACATGGAAATACCATAAAGCACACCGTGGTACCAAGGCAGAAAAAATGGGTATACCATAAAGCATACCATATACCACAATAGACAAGTGATAACAATACCATGAGTTGTATGAAGGTTGCCAATAAATATACGACACAAGATGCCATGGGACGTACATGTACCACAGCAAATAACAGGTATACCATACAGCACAGTACCAAATGAAGCAAAAAGAACACAATATAAAAAATGTGGTGCCAAGTTAGAGAAAGATATATAACAACGTACACAGAGGAGGTGGGAGGGGCACAGACAATGAAGGAGGATGTAAAGATGCGGGGAGGAGACATCAATGTGAAAAGGAGGGAAAAGGTAGAAACGGAGAATAAGAAGGGGAGAGTGCAAAAACAAAGACAGGTACATGATACATTGATACATAATAGACAACATGAACGGGGATCATGAGATGAGAAGGTGGGTAAGAAAAGAAAAGAGAAAGAAGCAGACCCTTACTGACTGAAAATAAATAAAAAGTCTAGAAAGGAGTAGGCCAGCGATCATAAATGCCACATCAGATCAACTGGATACTATGCCAATTATCGTCTTGGTTACGAGTCACCCAGCAAAGCAAGCAATGCCAGATCCCAGAATCCATCCTTACTCCCCGGCAAGACGCGCGCCTTATCAATATTTCAGCCGCGCGCGATCAAGAAAGATGCCAAAATGCGTCGGGCCGTGAAATGTGGAAGATTTAATTCCTAATGATGTCAGAGTAGCGGCAGTAATTCATGTCACCCCATTTCTCTTTTTCCGCACGCTGTTTTATTCAGCGGGGAGAAAACTCTGCTGCCCAGGAGTGCGTCGAAGCGCGACGGCGATGTGTCAGTTGTATTAGTATCCAATCGCTGATGCGCTTGTCGTTGCTTGCGCGATCTGGGGCACAGGCAGGTATTGATTACTGAACGCCACCTCGTGTGTGTGTGTGATGAATTGACTCGCACTCTGGTGAACTCGGAGAAAAAAAGTGATAATTGGCGGTTGCCAATCCATTTGTACAATCATGCACGATTGCATCAATGTGGCAAATCCTAACTGCTCCCAATGCTACAAAATACTACTGAGTAGTAACCTGTAGTATGAATTTCTTTCCATACAAGTGTGCACAGCACATGTAGTATTTGGTACTTGACCCCAAACAGTCATTTGGGGGTTAGGGTTAATGTCTGTTTTTAATTTCTTCCATTTGGTTCCTTAATTTACTCTTGCTACGTCACTATTGGGACAACAAAGAATGACAGAGCACTTGAAACTTTCATTTTCTTGAGAATTCTGACTCTGAAAATGCAAAGTTTCAAATGCTCCACCGAAACACACACATGTATACCAACAAAATAAGCCATGCTATAAACACAAGTGTGTACCACCAAGACTACATAGATGCATGTGAGGCCATCTACAATCTGATCAATCTTTCCCAGCGGAGTATCGGATACTTACCCACTGAGTACACCAAGAACTAAGTTAAGTACAAAGAATGAGCCCACAATGATGAGACTAACGAAGTAGACCCAGGGCCCGGGGCCTACCGCATCGGTTATCTGATCCCAAGGAAGGCAAGGTAGAGATACAAGGAGTAAGGGTTAATACGTTAAGAATGTCACACTTCCATTGCTTTAAAATTCTGTTTCAAAATGAGTTTTCAGATGATCCCTGCTGCTTGTGATTCAAGCAGTGGTGAGCCTTCTTTCAACCAAGGAAAATTGGACCACAGAATGAGATTTTTTTTTATCAAACTCCCGAACTTCAGATAAAGATACTGAACCTACCACGAACCAAAATGATACTAATATTACATTCATAAAAAGGTTTTCAACGGTGCCCTTTAACCCGTTAGCACCTGGACTTCACAGATCCTTGTCATTTGATTGGTTGAATTCACATCACATGACATTCATTATTGCTCCCATTCACGCCGGGGCTCAAAAAGTCCCATCCGCCCATGGTGAATGGGATTTACTCTTCAGTAACCGGTAGGATCATTCTTGTTCCATGGCGCAGTATTTGTGTGCAAATGCATGCTGGTGTGCGTGTTGAGAGTTGTGCGTACTGCTCCAAGAGCCAGTAGCTACAGAGCTGGGTTCAAACATTTCATGAAGGGGTGGTTTGGAAGAGAGAAATACATTTCCCACCAATTCTGTATTGAAATAGAAGTTCATTTTAACTGTAAATCAAATGACAAGGATCTATATGTCAGTTAGGCCTATACAAATATTAAGTGGCTTTAAATTGTGAAATAGGAGGAATATTATCGCTCGGTAAAATCTGGACTGTTCCATTTCACTCGGCTTCATCTCGTGAAATAAAAAAACGTCCAGATTTTACCTTGCAATAACATTCCTCCCGTTCCACTCTGAGCCACTCAATATTTGTATAACATTGCGTTTATTCACTGAAGAATCGATAAGGCCACAGAGTACTTGGGCAGTTTGGGGCGGTACAGTGAGTAATAGGCAGGGCAGTTTTGGGTGCTACAGTGACTAAAGGTTAAGGACTGAAAAATTAGGCTGAAAAAAGTATTATTTGACCAGTGTACAGTCACCACACTAGTACTCACACACCCAAACTTTGAAAGCACTCAATGCTCAAGTTGAGTCCTTTATAAAAATACCTTTTTCACACTTATCAACCTATAAGCCTCTTCTTTATCCTCTTTTGCACCAATATTTTATGTACGATTATACTAAGCATTGGCAGTCAAAAATTGATAAAACAAAATATAAAAAAGGCACCCACAATACAAAACAACCTCTTGTGGACTTACTTTATAGTTCTACTGTAGTTTTAAGTCTCCTTTTTTTCTCCTAAAGCCAAAGTTGCATGTAGCCATCACCTCAGAATCACACCCAACTCATACCAAACTTAGTAGCGGATCAAGATGGGGGCGATGGGGGCACTGCCGGCGCATGCCCCCTATTTTTTTAAAAGGCACGCCTTGCCTTTTTCCCCTGTTTCATCTGGTGTCAACTGGTTATTTATCACTTCAAAGACAGACTTTTCCACCCACATGAGCAATTGCCCCACTTGTATGTTCTAGTTTGGCCTCCACCCCCCCCCCTCCTTCCATAAATTCTGGATCCACCACTGAAACTGACTTTCACAAACCTCAAATTGTACTTTTTCCATCATGTAAATATTTTCCAATACCGATAGAAGAGGTCTCACATTTTGCATCAACTGTGGTCAAAAACATCTTCTATTTTTGGTAAATCCCAGGTAATGAACTTCCACAAAAATGAGCTTATTTTCAAAGCTGTGTAGATCCACCTTTCTTTAAAATTCATCCCTCAATCCTTTCAATGATTAAGATAAATCCCTCCATTATCCGTTAATAATTCATTAATTCTCTCCATTTATACAGTGCTTTGTATGAATAATATATATGGATTGCTCTTTTCTCTGAAAAATGTGCACAAGCCAGATTGATTTTTATACTCATCCCTTGTTGACGCACGGGATGTCCAAATATGACCCCGTACTGAAAATGTCAACTTTATCCATAATCACTCCAGAATCGGTCATATTTTCCAACAACTGAGGATGTTTTATCTACTCCATTATTAAACAGACGTGATTTCAAGCTTATTGACGTACATTTTTTTCATTTATATTACATTGCTTCATTATGCAAGGCTTTGGAACTCACTACCCGCTTCTGCTGTGTTAGCTCCATCTAGCCAATCTTTTAAATCAACTGTCCATAATTTGTTCCTTTAACATGCCCCCTGCTCATAATCTATGAACTTTAGCTGTGGTTTTTCTACTAGCTTTATGTTCTCTTGAGGAGGGCCAAAATAAAAAATGTAAACCCCCCCCCCCAAAAAAAACCAGATTTTTCCACTGCACAGGGTGGTCTAAAAAAAATTCACACGTTTTCAGAGGCGGATTTCTCAAAATTGAAGAGACATGTTGAAATTGTTTTAAAATATTCCTAAACTACAAAATCTTGTTCGTATATGGTGCAAAAGTTGTTGAAAACAAACTTCAAGTTAAGAAATAGTGGCCATTTACAGAAGAATGGTTAAAAACTAGTTTGTCCACATCTATGGCAGTCATGTAGACCTAGTTACATTATTGCAGTTCTTTGTGCATGCAGTGCTATTGTGTTGACCATATCTCATAGACTTGCCTGTGGACAAACTGGTGTTTGACCATTTTTCTTTAAACCATCACCATTTCATAATTTTGGCTGTATTTTCAGTGCAGTTTTCACCATATATATACCACAAAGATGCTGTAGTTTAGAAATATCTTGAAACAATTGCAACACGTCTTCCCAATTCTAAGAAATCTGCGTCTGAAAAAAATGTAAACATTTATTTTCTGGACCAGGCCCCGAATCGCTCCCAAATCGCCCAAAGTTTTTTACCTAAATAAATAGTTTCTTTCATCGCTTTATTCTTCACATGGATCACAGTTTGACATTTTAAGTGCTTCAAAGTTTAATGATGTTGTATAGTGAGATTTGACGTGTGTACGCACGCCACTAGGAAGTCAGCATCATCAATTCCGTCATCAATTCTAACTCTCATTTTGTGTCTTCTTCAAGTATCTGTTATCTAATGACGTCAGCCCTTTTTGTAATGATGTTTATCTTGAAATTTTTCCCTGTCCAATTACTGCACATAATAGCTTACTTTGTCGGCTTCAACAAGAGGTTTTGCTAAATTGAGACCATGGATGTGATGCAATGCATGTAGGCACAAAAACATGAATAGGTGCGGAGTCGTAATTTCTTCTCATGGAAATGACATTGTCGATTCATTTCATACAATGACTACAAATTCACGTCACTCTCTTCTCAAATCAATACAAAAATTCTTCTGGCTAATAAGACGTACTGCCCGTGCTACTCAACAAATTTACATTGTTTTCTTCCCGTCGATGAATATTCACTATGTATGTTATATTTTGACCCCCCAAAAATACTTTTTTTTTTTTTTTTATACTTTTCTTCTATTTGGGATATACATTGCAACCCTCTGAAAAAAAGGACATTTATTTTGGGTACATTTTGTGCACAAATCCTCACTGCGAGTAGACTGGTTCCCGGTCCCCGCATTATCAATTCTGATTAGATGACGGAACCAGTCTACCCTGCAAAAACTGAATTATTCATAATTTGTAAAGTAATTATTTTATGACTAAAAGTGTGGGTCAATTTTTTTGCTCAATGTCTTAGTCAAAAGTGAATAACTTTTATGTTGCTCGATGAAATAGCAATTTGAATATAAAAAAAAAAAATTCTGGGCAAAACTAAAAAAAAAACAGCACATCTTTACAAAATGTATTAAAAAAAAAGACATATGGTCGTTCTCAATATCTACACCTACGCCAATCAACACCCTTTGTATATCCCACGTAAGGAACCAATGTTGACACATTAATGATCCCTGAGGATTGGCTCGGGGGTTGGGTGATGGCAGGCCGGCAAACATTAGGGGGCGGGCGGGCATGGAACCTACAGAACTTTAATGAGACGGAATCCAGACAAACAAACACGGGGAGACAGAAGGAGCACGAAAGTGTTGTCTTGACAGATGATGACCTATCAAGGATCAACACAAACTAATGAACTGACCCGATATGTACACAGACAACAGACAAGAGCGAACTGACAAGTCACACAACACTGTACAACATGTGAACTTCCGAAACTTCAAATGGGTAGAAATTTGCCGAGCCAAGTCGGTTTAAAAAAAAAATGAAACCATCATTTCAAAGGGGAAGATCAATATTTCAGTATTAAAAGAAACATATTTTTGACGAGCTATCCAGACGGATCATCTCATATACACGTAGGCAAGTGAATAAAGTACACTGACGCCATCTACATGTGGAATTTGAGTTTTAAGGGATTACAGACGAGGTTGATTGACAGGGGCTTACATGTACCGGTAGGAAGACTTGATGTGAATACTTGCAAAACGTGGATAAAGACGATGACGCACTATCACATATTTCTTTTAAAGTCTCGTAAAGTACATGTACCTTAAACATACTGTGCAACTGCTGTACTTACATGTAAGTGTCTTATTTTATAGAAAAGATGACAGGTTACCATGGCAATGGTATGTACACCTTTGCCATACTATAAAAGTATCCTGGTATCCAGGTGCACGGTAACCAGCCAAATCTTTTTTTTTGTGACCAACAAAACCTACTAATCACCTCTTGCCGAAAAAGTCCTTAAAAAAAAATTTCAAGTGAAATGAACACATCTACTTAGTTGTTTTAGCACTGCAATGTAATGTACACCTTTTGCCATACTATGAAAGTATCCTGGTACCCAGGTTCACGGTAACCAGCCAAATCTTATTTTGTGTGACCAACAAAACCTACTTCTTATCACCTCCTGCCTAAAAGTCCTTAAAAAAAATTTTCAAACGAAATGAACACATTAGTTCTTTTGGTACTCACATTATAAAGTACATCTGTCCAGCCTTCCATCGTGATACACTGGAACACCGTTATCATCGCTAGACCGATGTTATCAAAGTTTGTGATGCCTTCGTTGGGCCCCTCCCAGTACTCGTCGCAAAATGCGTCTTCCCGTAACTCGCTACAGTTGAAGCCCCGATCCCCGCATGGATGGGGTCCTCCTGGGCAAATTTACCTGGGATAGGGTAACACAGTTGAAATTTCATTTCAGACATTGAAGGTCCTCAGTACAAGACCTCAGTACAAGAGGGTCCTCAGACATTGAGGGACCACAGTACAAGAGAGTCCTCAGATATTGAGGGTCCTCAGTACAAGACCTCGGTACAAGAGAGTCCTCAGACATTAAGGGTCCTCAGTACAAGACCTCAGTACTAAATGGTCCTCAGACATTGAGGGACCTCAGTACAAGAGAGTCCTCAGATATTGAGGGTCCTCAGTACAAGACCTCGGTACAAGAGAGTCCTCAGACATTAAGGGTCCTCAGTACAAGACCTCAGTACTAAAGGGTCCTCAGACATTGAGGGACCTCAGTACAAGAGAGTCCTCAGATATTGAGGGTCCTCAGTACAAGACCTCGGTACAAGAGAGTCCTCAGACATTAAGGGTCATCAGTACAAGACCTCAGTACTAGAGGGTCCTCAGACATTGAGGGACCTCAGTACAAGAGAGTCCTCAGACATTGAGGGACCTCCGTACAAGACCTCAGTGTCCGAGTAGTGAGTCAGATACGATTTGAAGCTTTGCATGGCAAAGAGAGCAATGGGCTCCATGCACCAACAAAAGAGGGCGCCTTTTTGCTACTTTTGAGAGCTCTTTGGACGGGACACGGAGCATGTGCGTACCGGTTCGTGCGCCCAAAGTATGCACGACTTCCTGAATGTGCCAAAGCTATCAGCCTCAGCGTCTTCGCATGAGCGTCTGGCACCATCTGCGCGTGAATGCGTTCAAATCAAACTTGCGGTGTTCCCCTCGACTAATGGCTGCCCCCAATACCTTTGGATCATTCAAATTACGCAGTGAAAAAAACAGAAACCAGTCTACCAGTAGTTCTCCCCCAACTCTCCTTTTCTGGCCATTGAATGCGTACTTGTGCACGGAGCAGGTAAGGGTAAGTTTACAGTTGCACCATGTAGCAAATCTCTTCGGAGAGTTTGTGAGGTTCTGAAGAGATCGGGAACATGGCAACAACACACATGGGCAACAACACTTGGGCCTCTCCGATACCACACTATGTTCCAGCCCCGTTTTGCGGGAGTTCAACTTACGTATACCGCCCTCGTTGATCCAGCATGTACTGTGCAGCTTCCCTATGAAGAGTTCTAGACCTATCACGGCATAGATGAGGATTACAAAAATGACTAGAAGAGCTATGTGTAGCAACGGCACCATGGCACGAAAGATGGAATTCAGGACGACCTGCAAACCTACAAGCAACGAGAGGGAGAAACAAAATAGAGCAATGGCAATGTGGTACATAGGATGCAGTGGGAAAACAATCCATGTCTGGATGTCGGCGGTGTTTTCACGAAGTGACAAAAACCTCAATATCCTGCAAAAGGGTCATCCAGAGCTAATTGCATCTAAAGTTAGCCCTTTTTTCAAAGTACTTTCGACTAGTTTGTAGATATAGATGAGGGAAAATTTTGCAATGTCAAGTAATGTATGCTTTGTTCTTTGATAATTCAAAGTTGTTTGTTAAAAGTCTCTCTTAAGTAAACGGTAATTCAGTAATAAAGATAAATAAAGATACTCTTCACTTCGTGAAAACAGTAAAACGCAGAGGCCTCACTTTTTTGTCCCATTACGTTGTACACACTCTTTGTCACTTCGTGAAAATAATAAAACGTTCAAAGAAATTGCTACATTAAGCGCCATACATCACTGCAGCGTGCGCGCGTCTGTTCTTTATCGACATCGTTCACGGTGCGCGCGCCCACTCCCATCCTAATATGTGTGTAGAGAAATGAATTATCCCTCTGGCCCTGCTAACGAGGTAAGTTTTTGTCACATCGTGAAAACAAAAAAACACGGATTTCAGGCTTTTTGTCAAATTACATAAGTAAACAATATTTCGCTTTCAAACTTGGTCAAATTCTTCTTTTTGTCAAGTGAAATAAATTAGCCAGAAAAGCTCAAAATTGAAAAATTATCGATTTTCCAGGTTTTTGTCACTTCGTGAAAACATCGTCGATGTGTTCAGAAGTTAGGGCTTTTACCGGTAGATGACAGAAAGTAAAAATTGTCAGAGTGCATAGCAACCTATGAAATCTCAGGATTCTGTGAGGTCCAATCTGCAGTCTATGCTAAAAAAGAACTCATTCAGCTTTTGTTCTAGATTACAGAGGCTGACATTGACTTACACTGGATTGGCTTATGCAGGTTACGGTGCCTTAGTGGACATGTGGTTTGCTTTCATAGTTCTTGCCATGGCTAAAAGTGGCTCATTGTGTTTTTTTATGGCTCACAATGGCTCACAGTGGCTTCTAATAGCACTCAGTTACTCAGAGTGGTTTTCTGTGATTTGCAATAGCACACTGTGTCTCACAGTAGCTTTTCTAGATCACAGTCACTCAGAGTTGCATGAGTCTCACAACATTCTTTCTGTGGGTCACAGTGGCATACCATGGCTCTCAGTGACTCAAAGTTGCTGATTGTGTCTTTACGTACCTCACAGTGACTCAAAGACATTTAAAGCAAAGGGTCAATGTTGCTCATCTCACGCTCTAGCCACTCAGAGTGGCGCACAGTATGCATCTAGAATTTCCGGTATTTATGCTACACTTTAGCTACTGGCGCAGTACATGTACATGTAGTTAAAGGGAATATACAACACCTGCATTTGCTGTAATTTTCAGAAATGGATGGATTTGGGGGTTAGTATTTTACAGCAATTATTGTTACTTGTTTGAAGTTTTGTGTTCGTGGATGCTGAAAAACCTAGAAAACAATCATGTTCACGTAGTCTGGTTCATGTAGCCAGGTGCCATGATTTTACAGGATGCTTTAGACTGTCATTCACTAACAGTCCAGTAAGGTTTTTCATAATCATTTGGTAGTTTTGTTTTTTGACATTTGCAAATGTTGTATATTCCCTTTAACATTAATGGCCCATTGATCTTAGCTTTAAAACTGACTAGGTTTGTCTTTGTGTCCACAGGCAAGGCATTTAACACCAACTGTCCCACTCGACCCAGGTGTATACTGTGTATATAACCATCAGTTGGGGAGTAAGCAGTGATTGACTGGGGAATATTTTTCAGCTTTATCATGCCAAGGAAACTGACAGTAGCAAGATTACATTGCACTTTTTTCTTCCAGCAATTTTATTAAAAAGCCCGACAACTAAACTCCAGTGTTGTTAAATCTCAGAGGTACCGGTAAACTCCATACCCAGAGAACAGACTTTAGTAACAGGATGTCTTCTTGCCTTGAAGGCCTGTGAATGTTTTTTTCCTGAGCTCAATCGGCTGTAAAGTTCCCATCAATTTGAAAACCCACATTAAGCTGAATTATCCTCGGAGAGTGAGTCAAAAGTCTTGCCCATCACGAAATAACTCCCAAGTAAAATGGATTCACCGAGCGGGGGTAAGTTGTTTCATTGTCAATGTGCCCCTTGACGTTCTCCCGAAAGGTGTAGGGAAGGAAACGGGGAGAAACAAAAGCTGCTACTTACTTGGCACCCCAGAGACGAGCCTGAGCGGTCTTAAGACGCGAAACGCTCGTAGCGCTTTCACATCAAAGCCTGCTGACCCTTGGGCGGTGTTGGAAAGTATCGTGCTGACCATCCTGTGTTTGATATGAGACAGAAAATAGAGGGGTTGCACTTTATCTGGCTCACCGCAACACAAAGCATTCAATGGCTGATTCTTCCAGTTGACTGTGAATTTGTAAGCGTTTTAAAAGCTCTTTAGAAATGCAGTATTTAAAAACTCTGAACAAAAGTGCACAGCAGCAGTAATAAAACCCAAGATTTTTCTTCTCTGAGATACCCATTCTTTCAATTTTCAAGCAGACCCAGGTAAAAAAGTAGGGGAACAGTAGGATCAAAATTTCAAAAAAGAACAGTACACAAGTAGAACATCAGGATAAAAGTAGGACTTTTGTGGGCTTTCAGGGGTAGTTTTCATTGATACTCATCCATGTCCACAGCATCATAAGCCTCATTTGGCATGTTCTGTACTCACAACACTTGTGCTCCATCCTCAACAAAGCTCTTGGAAGTATAGTTGCAGTACTCCTGCGCCCAAACCCTTCATTGTGTGATTTACATATGACAGTGTCTTACACTGTTATGAAAATTATTCAATTAGATTTCATTTTGGAGTTGTGCGACCAAAATGTAGGAAAAAGTAGGAAGAAGTAGAAATTGCAAGAAAAAGTAGGAGCAAGTAAAGAAAACTAGGAAAAAGAAGGAAAAGTAGGAATACTCTGAGATACTCACCCTATAATTACTATAATAAAGTCCAGGAAGTTCCAGGCATTTCGTAGATAGGCGCCTGAGTGGAAGAGGAATCCCAAGGCAACGATCTTCAACAGGGCTTCTAATGTGAAGATGAACAGGAAGATATACTCTACTTGTTCCTGCAGTAAATAAAAAAAGAAGAAACATTTGCTGAATACGGTGACAGTTTGTGACTGTGCCACGTGAGACATAACCAATAATAAAATCTTTTGGAGTCAATGTTGAACGCTATTTCACTATGGGAAAATAATTCAAGATAGAAAGGAATATGACAAACAAAAATTGAAGAAACTTTGATTCAGCAAGTATGATTGTTTACTGGTAGGGCACCAGCATATAAGTTTTAGGGACATCATCCAAATCCTTTCAATATTCAAATTGAAATTTAATCAGTAAGACCAAAAAAGAAATTTAAAACAAATTTAGCCAATCAATGATAAATGTAATGCATATCATTGATCAGGGTTATAGCCAGCTGTTGTCCTGGAATATTTGGACACCTCATTTTGCTTTCCATTGTATGTAAAAGAATGGATCTTAAAGACATATAGGATCATTTGCTTTGCAGGCATTTTGTTTACTTCCACCACTCAAAATCCAACGAATGTTGTTCAAAACCTAACCTGTTGAAGTTCCATCTCAGTGGATATATTTCTTTTTTCGAGAAAACAGTGAAA